GTTATCCAGGATATGCGCAAAAACTGTTATACTCTGTATAATCAGTACATTTCGCCAGTTCTATCCGCGATAAAAGCGTGATCAGACTCTGGGCTTGGAACCGAACCTAGGTCATGCAGTCAAACGCGCTGCGTTTTGAACAGCTACCCAAGTGACTGGTTTGAAGTCTCCCTTTACAGCGAGGCTTATGTGTGGCTCCGGGAGCTTTGGAAGAGTGCTCTGGCTTTACACGTGGTCCGAGCCTCCCTGCTCAGCAAATGGCAAAAGGCAGGCTACTCTGGGCTGCTTTTCCAAGGCAATGCTTGGGTTTGTGGGAGAACAGTAGCAGAATACACGAGACGCGCTATCAAGGGCTGGATTTGCCAATCGCGGTTCGGCTCCTTCGCCCCTCTCTCCAATTTTCTAGATCTAAAAAGTTCCCCGTAAGCAACTCATTGGTCGTCGAGGGGCTCACAAAAAACAGCAACCAATGTGCGAAAGGATATTGTCTCATCCGTAGTTTACCTGCCCGAAATAAACAGATTATCACGGCGATGCCTGTACACCAAGAGGCTGCAAATTGGAAAGCTGAAGCCGGGGAAATTCGACCCGAATCGCGAATCGCAGCAATCCCGAATTCGGCCCTATCGCCCCCCCTCCATACCGCACCAACCCTCGCCCAGGATGTCGCCTGTCGTTGCACTCTCATCGCCCCTTCCCGTCCCACCGACCCAACGCAACGCAACCAGCAACTTTCATCTCGATCAGCCATAGCAACTACCTTGCTACCTGTCTGCCTCGAAACCAGTCTCTCTTTCCACTACATCGATCCTTTTGTTACGAATCCGGTGCTAGGAGGGAATACTACCCAACGCTGCTCCCTTTCTGTGTTCCTTCGTCTGACGAAAAGCGATCAGAGCTTTAGGAGATTCTGTGATTTTAGGTCCAAACCGTGCAACGAGCGAGGCTCCTCGTCCTTTTGCACCACAAGATTGTTGCTTCTGCAGTTGTACCTTCAAGGAGAACGATGGGTACTCGGCACCAAGCGGCACTAGTTGACAGGCGGGGCGGACGAAACGATTTTCGTTCACCGCTTCACCTTTCCCTCATCGGCGCTTCTTTTCTTATTCTGGTTATTCTCGCTTCGCCAAACACAGCAGCCGCGGGAGACGGGATGCTGTTTTCCCTCAACAAAACAGTCCTTGCAGACCAACTCAGTAATCCGGCTGATGCGTTTCGCCAGGCTTTCGCAGAGAAGGAACTGTCGTTCGCACGCGAAACAGAAGCACACGACGAATGGGCTAGCGAAGCCGCGTGGGAGTTCGGCAACGGATTCTCAAATTTCGCACGTCGTGAAGCGGCGAATGGAAACGAAACGGTTTCTGCACAAGCCCACCGCAGGTCGATGCGATTGGTGCGGGGTAAGCGCGGCTGCAGCCTCACGACCGGGTCGTGGGTGCTCGACAATAACCGACCCGCGTACGACGAGAGCACGTGTCCGTTCCTCAAGGTATGGAATCGGGCTCGGTACGGGTCGAAGTCACACATGCCAGCACACAGAGTAGGGCGTCGCTACAGCACCGCAACGCACCGTAATACCTCCGCTGCTCCCTCAGATGTATCTGCGTATCTCCATATCTCCCTTTGCCTCGTCTCACCCCATCTTACAGGAGGTCGCGACTACCACGAACTGCTTAGGTTCGCGCTACTCGCGGCCCGATCGCAACTGGATGGTGAGTGCAAGTCAACGCGGTCAATCCGAGTCAACCTGGCTGGAAACCTCCGTACCAGCAACTCGTGAAAGACCCCCGACTAGGAAGTTCAGTCGCCGTCTATCAATATCACAGCATCCGCTGCTCCATTGCTGGATTGTGTCCCGTGTCAGCAACGTCTCTCCCTCCTTCGATCCCATCCCACCTCATTCCATCCCATCTCAACCCATCCCATCCCATCCCATCCCGTGCTGCCAGCGTTACTCGTGGAAGGCGCACGAGTGCGGCTCGCAGCCCCTTCGATTCGACGCGCGCAACTTCCTCGAAAAGATGCGAAACAAGTGAGCCCCTCTCCTACCCCTTCCGCAATTCGCCCCCTATTCGTCCTCACTGACCCACTTCCACCCCCTCACTCGACCTCAACTGCCCCCAAGAGCCCCAGTTTGCCCCCAGTCGTGCGCAATCCTTCAGTCTTTGGCATCCGTCTTCTGTTGCAGGAACATGTAGCGCAACTTTTGTCTCCTCGTTCGTGCCGCTGCACCCCATCCCCGTTACAGGAACATCTTGTTCGCGGGGGACTCGCTAATGTGGGAGGGCTTCTTCCCGTCGTTCCTGTGCCAAGTGCACCGCGCGTCGCCCGCGCGCAAAGTGAATTACGACAGCCGCTTCAAGCAGACCACGTGGACGGTCGACGAATTCAAAGTCACGCTCATCCACGTGTGGAGCCCCTTTCTCATGGACTTCAGTTCCGACTCCAAGGTACGGCATTAACTCTCTCGTCGACATGAATTATTTGTATTAAGCAGCCCACTCTTCTTACCCAACCCTTTCTGTTTTCCCTCTTCCTTTGTCACCATCCCCCTCCCTTTCATCCCCCTCCCTTTCATCCCCTCCCTTTCACCCCCCTCTCTTTCTGTTCCCCTCTCTCACTACCTTCCCCAACTCCCCCCTTTCTCTCCCTCCCTTTCCTCGCACCCAGGTGCTTAAGAGGCTCAAGGTCGAACACCCAGCACTGGGCGACACCGCAGTGAACCTCTTCCAACCGGACCCCAACTGGACGTTGCTGCTGCCGCACGTGCACCTGGTGCTGCTGCAGTCGGCCACCCACTGGCCGAATGCAGACAAATGGCTCCGCCGCTTCTTCACCGACCGCAAGTGGCAGCTGCTGTCCCCCCAGCCGGACACTTTTCAGGCATACACGTGAGTGTGCCTTTAATGGGTGGGATGGCAACGTGTGTTCTTGTAAGGGGCATGTTAGCATGCTTGCTCCAGCCCCAGCGTGCTCCGCCGCTTTTTCACCGACCGCAAGTGGCAGCTGCTGGCCCCCCAGCCGGACACTTTTCAGGCATACACGTGAGTTGTGCTTGAAACAGGGGTACTTCTAACGGTTGGGCTTGGCGGGATGGTACGGGTGTGCTCGTAAGTGCTGTGCTTGTAACGGGCGTGCTTGAAATGGGTGTGCTTGTAGTGGGCATGTTTTAGCATGCTTGCACCCATCCGCACCTGGTGCTGCTGCAGTCGGCCACCCACTGGCCGAATGCAGACAAATGGCTCCGCCGCTTTTTCACCGACCGCAAGTGGCAGCTGCTGGCTCCCCAGCCGGACACCTTTCAGGCATACACGTGAGTGTGCTTGTACTGGGTGTGCAGCTGCTAGTTCCCCAGCCTGATACGTTCAAGGCCTACGCGTGAGTGTGCTTGGGTTTGCTCGTAACAGGTGGACTAGTAAGGGGTGTCCTTGTAACTGGTGGACTTGTAAGGGGTGTATTTGTAATGGGGGGGGTTGTTATGGGTGCGCTTGTAATGGGTGCGTTTGTAATGGAGGCTGAGCTGCAAGGTCCATAGCCCTCTACTCCTCCACCCCATACGCTCCGTGGCCTTACCCCACCGCGCAACACACCTTTACACCCCTCCCTTCGCCCATCAGCGGTGCAAAGAACGCAGTGAGGTAGAAGCTGAGCCGTAAGCCCTCTGTCCTTCCACCCTTTGACCCTACCCCACTGCTCTCCACTCCCGTGCACCCCTCCCTTCACCCATCAGCGGCGCAATGGACGCGGTGAGGAAAAGGCTGAGCTGCAAGCCGTCGAGCAAAGGCGGGCGCTACGTGGCCTACTTCCTCTCTGCACCTTGCACCCCTACACCCCTTGACCTTACCCAGCACTCCCGTACACCCCTCCCTTCGAACATCAGGGGTGCGATGGACGCGGTGAGAAAAAGGCTGAGCCGCAAGCCGTCGAGCAAAGGCGGGCGCTACGTGGCCTACTTCCTCTCTGCACCTCCCCGCCTTGCTGGCTGCCAGAATACCGTCACTCTCAGCCCCCCAGATCAGGTATGTATGGCGCCTTAAACCTATGAATGCACTTACTGACCTGGCTGCCCGGACTTGCTTGACTGGCTTGGACTGGCCATACCATCTAGTATTCCTGGCTCAGCTGGCCTACTCTCCTTCTCCCCTACCCCCACCCTCCCATGCTCCTACACCCAGGTGGCCTATCTTCGCTCCAAGAACGCGCAGAGCAAGGTCTGGTTCCGCACGCAGAAGCAGCTGTTTGGGCGGAAGAACTCGCGGGTGCGGCTCCTCGACATCACACACCCGTCTCTCGCGCGTGCCGATGCCATGATTGGATCGCAGGGCACAGCAAGCATGGACTGCCTCCACCCGTGCTTGCCGGGCCTGCCTGACAACTGGGTCGACCTGTTCTATGCTGCCTGGCTCGCAGATAAAGGCTTCTGATTGCATTAGTATCATTCGGGTTGCACTCAGTGATGAGTGATCCGAATCAGTTCAATGTTGTGCCGTGCCGACACCATGATTGGGTCGCAGGGCACAGAAAGTATGGACTGCCTCCATCCCGTGCTTGGCGGGCCTGCTTGACAACTGGGTCGACCTGTTTTACGCTGCCTGGCTCGCAGACAAAGGCTTCTGATTGCTGTAGCGTTCATGTAGACTAGGGGAAAGTGTAAGTGATAGTTGCAGTAATGGATTACTCAGGTTGCAGTGAGCCTCAGTGATTGGGTTGAATAAGGCCAGCAACAATTGTCTCATTGGCTGTTGAGTGCAGGATGGATCTTGTCTTTCAGGCAGGTACTGTTGATGGCGCATATGGCATGAATGATCTAGACATCACAGCCTGGTGCCAGGATGTGGTAGGTTGGAGGGAGTTTGCAGTGAGGTGAGAATGCTTGCTCAGTATAAACTACAATTAGACAAAACAGCAAGGATACAGGAAAGAATGGACTACTAGCGAGTAGTTTTGCCACAAACATACGTATATCAATAATGAAGACCTACTGGACATACCTCTCCCTTCTAAGCAGCTTTGGGCAACACCCTGATTCCAACGCGTGGGGGCACCCTCCCTCGGGTTCGTCGATGGTTCGCCAGCGCCCTCATGTAAGCCGGGCTCATTTCCCTCGCGAGCTCCGGTGTCCAATGGCTTCTACCCATCGCCGCATTTCGCACAACCGGCTCTTCGGCGTTCTCGGTGGACTGGACAACAATCAATCTGCTGCTTTCATCGTCATCCACCGCAGTCGCCATCACCGCGGCGTTCCCAAGGGTCCCATCAGTAGCACTCGCGACGCTGGCGAGGGAAGCAGGATTCGTGTTCGACTTGCCCGGCTTGAACGTGTACGTGAGGATGCTTGTAATTGGTTTGTCCGCGGGCCTGTCAATGTTGAATAGATTCATGTACGTCTGGAAATCCACCTTTTTCGGCCCGCCCTTCTTCGTCGGGCAGCTTCGAAACTGCGGAAACGCCTTTTTGATCGGCGACTTCGGGGTCAGTGCGAAATCCATCGCTTTGACGTTTTTGAACCCCGCTTGCGAAAGCGAAGTCGAGAAATACCGCAGCGTGTTCAGCTTCGGGACTGACGGAAACGGCTTGCAGTTGTCCTGATAAAACACCCACTTGGTTGAGTTATCAGTCATCGCCGTGACGATTTCCGCGTAATTCTCCGTTGGAAGGCCTGAGCAGCCACCAGTGACAGCAGCACTGTACTGGCTCCCGGCGTTGCAGTTGATGTTGTAAAGAGCTTTCTTGGCGCAGAAATTAGTGAGATAGGGGAAGAACTGTGAGGGAACGGGGGGATGAGAGGGAGTGAAAATGGGGGAGAGATTTGAAACAACTGTCCAAACATAACAAGGTAACACAGACAATGTTTTGCAAGGCTGTTTAGGCACAGAAACCAGTGAGGTAGGGGGAGAACTGGGACAGCAAAGGGGAGATTCACAGGTGGCGGAGGAAGTGGGAAGAAGAGGGGATGGAGAGAGGGAGGGACACGAGATGCAGTTCTGCATTTGATGACACGTGGAGCAACCTTGATGCTTTTGATGGTTAGGCAGGGAAACACTGGGAGTATGGAAGATGGGTCATGGGGGGCCAGGTGAGGGAAGAACCTCTCACCTTCTGGATCCCCGGGGTCTGGTAGTTCTTAACTAGATCGTCATTCCACTTTGTCCCGTGGGGTTTATCGCAGTTGTCACATTGCAGTTCTGGCACGAAATGTACCTTCTTGATCCCCATGCCACGTTTTTCCATCCCTGGGCCTCATCTTTCCATCCCCAGGCCTCTCACCTTCGAATTTGTACCTTCTCAATCCCCATCCGCAGGCCTCTCACCTTCTTGATCCCCGGGGTCTGGTAGTTCTTAACCAGCTCGTCGTTCCACTTCTTCCCGTTGGGTTGGTTACAGTTGTTCACGTTGTAGTTCTGACACGAGATGTACCCCGCTGAGAACGCTGATCCATCAATCACCACCATGCCCTGAATGTGGTTGCTGTGGGGGGAAGACAGGGGGGAAGGGGAGAAAGGGGGGACGGGAAGTGAGCAGAAGAGAAGGAAGGAAGAGGTGTTGGGAAGAGGAATTTTATGAGCCAGGTAGCAGAGGGTTGGAGAAAAAGGCATACACTTGGGCGGGTACACTCAAGAGACCACCTTGGACTCACTACCTCCCGTCGTTGACCAACGTTGACGCAAAAAAAACCAGCGTTGACCATCGTTGACTCACTATTTCCCAGTGTTCAGCTTGAGCCCGTCAGCCGTCCGATCGCACACGAGCCCATCCACGATCACTCCAGTCGACACCCAATCTAGGTACAGGCAGTGCTCGCCCTTGCGCACGTAGTTACACCTCAGGATATTCCCGGGGTTCACCCAGTGCGTGTCCACATAAATCCCCGCCGCGTCGCCGAGCGTCGAGAACGTGTGAACCATGTTGTTGCGCATCACGTTACTCAGCATCGCGTCGCCCACGTTCGACTGCCCGAACCCGATCTGCAGGCTCGCGAGCGAAAACTCCGACATGCGGTTGTTAAACACGTTCACGCCCACCGCGTTTCGGTACAGCATCAGCCCGATCTCCGCGCCTTTCCCGGGCGGCCCCTGCGCGATCATGTTGTTATTCGTTATAAGCACGTTGCTGCGGATTAGGTTTGGCCCGTCGCCGGACAGCATCACGACGATCGCGCCCGGGTATTCCAAAGGGTGGACGTTAACAGTCATGGAGTCGATGCGCGTGTGCGCCGCGCGGGAGACTTCGATCCGGCCGAACGTTCGCCCCTGCGTGACCTGGACCGCCCATACGCGATATAGCCAGATCGCGGGGCATTTCCACTTGCCGATGAAATCGAGGTAGCGCGTTTCGAGGTACTGGCAGTCGGGGTTGGAAGCCAGAGGTGCGAAACCTCTCACGTTGATGCCGTTAACGAGGATGTTGCTAGCGAAGACAATTCGCATGGGAGGGTAACTGGTTGGGAGGAAGGGATGGGGATGGAACGACTGGCGGTTATGTCGGGAATAGAGGTGTGCGGATCAATTGCTTGGTCAAGTGTATGTAGATTGTCTGTGATGTAGTCATTTGTCGTTACTGGTGTTGTTAACGAGTTGGTGAACGTATGTTCTCTACACTTTATGCAACGAAAGCTTATGAGGCGAAAATAAGGATCTCACTTGTTATCGGTGGCGGAGAGCGTGAATTTCTTGGTGCCTTTGGAGCGCAGCACGGTGCAGTTGAACTTGCCGTCCAGCACCAACGGATTCTTCAGCTTCAGGTCCTTGGTCAGGAACATGCGCACTAGCTGAGATAGTGGGGAAGGGGGGAGGGAGAAGGGGGAAGAGGGGAGGGAGCAAGGGAAGGGAGGGGGGAGGGGGGGGGGGGGGGGAGAAACGGGTTAGCGGAAAGCGTGATTTTTTTGGTACCTTGGAGCGCAGCACGGTGCATTCGAACTTGCCGTCCAGCACCAACGGATTCTTCAGCTTCAGGTCCTTCGTCAGAAACATGCGCACTAGCTTTCGGTGCGGAAGGGGGAGCGGGGAGGAATGGGAGAAGAGGGGACGTCATTTTTGAGGTGATTCGGGTTTCGTCTTAGGGTTCTACAGCGTCATGTCAGAAACGTGCGCACTAGCTGTCGGCGCGGACGGGGGACGGGGGAGGGCAACGGATAGCGCAGCCGCAAAGGGGTGTTTTTGGAATGGAAGGGGAAAGGGGACTGTGGGTTTGAGAGTGGGGGGATGTGTGGGGGGAGGGGGGATGGAAGGGCGAGGGCGAGGGGGAGTGGGGACAATCGGGGAAAAGAGGGGAAGGGTGTGAAGAGAAGCAAACAGGATAAGGGGGGATGGGGAAGGTGGTGCGGTGAGGCGACTTACCACAAGCAATCTATCTCTCTCACGGCCAGAACGGGCTCTGTACTCTCTAGCTCGGTACCTTCAAGCAGAAGCACGCGCAGGTCAGAATCAGCCGTGCCTGAGTGGATGGGCATTCGGCACCCGTGAGGAAACCGTTCCTACCAGTGTCGCTGGGTATTGGGCACTCGTGGGGAAACCAGCCGTACCTGAGTGGATGGGTATTCGGTGCCCGTGAGGAAATTGTTCGTACCTGCGTGGCTGGGTATTGGGTTCGCTTGACAAAATCAGCCTCTGCTGCAATGTTGATTTCGGGAACCGGATTGGCCACTGTGCACGGCCCCGCGGAAACTGGGATAAAGGCGTGGAGGGAGGAACAATCACGGCCGGGGAAGTCGGCGGAGAGGTCGAGAGGGGGGGGCGAAGGGGAGAGGGAGAGCGAGTAAGATGACCCGTGACCAGTCAGAGGAGATTTCCGGGACAGGTTGCGTGACGTTCGTCTTTAATACATTCGCTGTGATACATGTATGTTCGCTCTGCAAGTTTCGCTATACAAAGTTTCGCAACCGGAATTCTGTTACATTGGGTGTTCGTTTGTGTCCAAGGGTGCTGTATATCTGTACTGTAGTAGGGCGTGAGGGGACAGTATCGAGAAGACGTACCTTGTAGCACAGTGGCGGAGAGAAGAAGAGCGGAAAGGGCGTAGAGTGTGAGGAACCTAGCGTCGTGCGACGCCATGGTGACGCTCGAACGCGGCGGCGACGAGCCTCCGCCTCGCATGCCGTACGATAAGCCACTAAGTACCGGAAACGTCAGAAACTATCTGAAGCGGTAGTCTGCTTGAAGACAGCAGCACTCGAGCATCGATAGGACTCTCCTTTACAGAATAACGAAGACTGAACAACTCCAGGCGTCTGGAAATCGCGATTAACTACTATCGAGACGTAGCAAGATCGGACAGAATATCACTAGCTTATCGTAGAACGAAAATGGGACAGTTTATCCGTACTCAGCGATGAGGTTGTTGGGAGTCCAGACAGGCAAGGAGGATGAATGAACTGTTGATCTTGGTGTTTGGGGGATGATGTTTGCTGATCTAGATCGTCGAAAATGGTTCAGAGCGGTGACACGTTTTCACAAAGGGTGTGAGTGCGGTGAATGCTCTCATCAAGGAAGTTCTGGGAGGAAAGAGGAATTGGTTTGGCTTGCTGGCTGGATAAACATTGAGGTGTGGGGGGAGGCGTGGAAGGGGGAGGCTGACACCCTTTACGATACGGCCGTTGGGGCTGGCAAGAGCACCGTCGGCCCAGCGGGGTTACCGAAATTCGCTTTTCATTCGGTAGGGTCGCGATTCGCCACAATACCCCCAAGAGATGCCCAGCTGGAATTGGTTGAACGGCGCACCCATTCCGGCGGCGAACATACCCCGCGCCCTACCTGGGGTTGCGAAGGAGGAGGAACTTTCGCGAGCTTTCGAACCGCGAGAGCTTTCGGAGCCAAACGCTCGCGGCACGGTGCAGTCACCACATTCGGGCCGCGGTGGGGGTGCCTGGCTGGCTGGTTGGGGGCTTTGCGCCATCCTGCGCCAGCGCTTGTGCGAGTGCCAGTGAAAGCGCTGAGCCAAACTGCCTGCATTCGGTTCGGTCCACCCAAACCAACCAACCCAACCAATCACCGTCACGAACATAAACGAGCTGTCGTGAGAAGGGGTAGGCCTTACCCGTTTCAGCACATGACATGTGACGATGGCGAAAACTTCACAACCACCGTGGGTGGCCGGCATTCCCCACGTTGCGAAGACGGAGTTCGGCAGCGTTCGGACAATCGCCGACAAATCGGGTTACGACAGAACGTGTCCCCGCATGTGGAGAATCGTGCGGTGCTTCGTTGCTTCGAGGTGATGGGGCTCACCACGGGCAGTAAAGGGAGGTACTACCTTCGGTGGGTAACTGGATGAAATACAAAAACGACTTTTAGCGGCCTCCACAAGAACAATAAACACTTTTTGGTCTGGAGGTTCGGACAGTCTTTAGTATATAAACGAACACTTAGGGAAGGGACAGAAGGTGGCAACGTCAACCTGAACTACAGCAACGTTTGGTGACAGACCAAACAACCGAACCTGGAAATGGTTTGAAGCAAAGGGGGTGCTTCCTACATTGACAGCCTGGAAATCGTGGATAGACAAGATGTGATTTATTCATTTTTTACAAACAATGAACAAATTATGGAAAAAAACAGCGGGTATAACCAAAGTCTGTGTGGCAAAGTTACACCTTTTGCCGCCACGATGGCCGGCGGCGGCGGCCATTGTGCCGTCCATAGAACCTCATCCATTTCCGCATTGTCACCATAAAGTCAGGCCGCAGCTCTCGTTCCAGCTCCGCACTCCACTTGGTCGTTGCGTACGGATTTGGTTGTAGCATCACGTCGCCGGACACCTCCCCGCCTCCATACACCGCGAGACTCGATATACTGCCAGGCTTTGCAATGGACGCTGGCTTGGCGGCAATAGGCTTCATGGCCGGCAGAGCGAGGTTGAAAAGATTGAAGTACGTGGCATAGGAAACGTTTTGGGGGCCGATCTCGTTCACCGGGCAGCTCCGAATCTTCGGAAACTTTTTCAGGATCGGCGAACCGGGAACGAGGCTGTAGTCACGGTTCGTCACGTTCTTGAACCCCGCAGCACTAAGGTTTACGGGCAGGTAGGTCAGCTTGTTTAATTTCGGCACAGCGGCGAAAGGGTTGCAGTTGGAGTGGAAGATAACGAGGCGAGAGGAATTATCAGTGGTGGCTGTTACGATCTCAGCAATGTTTTCGGTGGGCAGCCCGGAACATCTGCCCGTGGCGGAAGGACCGGGAGTCGATGATGTGCCTTCATTGCAGTTAACTCCGTTGATGGCAGTTTTGGTGCAGAAGTTGGTGAGGAAGGGGAAGAGCTGGTGGTGGGGATTGGGGAGACGGGGAGGGGCAGGGTCAAGAGAGAGGGGTAGTGGAGGGAAAAGGGTGGGAAGGGGGAAGAGAGTAGCATAGCTGCCTAGCAATTGATGCATTTGATGGCAGTGTTGCAAGAGAAGTCGATGAGCAAGGAGAAATGCTGGTAGGGAGGGGGGCGGGGTGGAGGAAGGAGCAAAGAGGCACGACAAGAGACAATTCAGGTTGCAAAGCACATTGTATAAATCTTCACATGCACTATATCACACATGGGAAAGCAACAGCTCACCTCTCTATTCCTGGCGTCTGGTAATACGCCAGAAGGTCTTTGTTCCACTTGATCCTTTTGTAGGAATCCCATTAAACCTCTGAGGCGCCACAGCAGCTCACCTTCTTGATCCCTGGCGTCTGGTAATAAGCCAGAAGGTCTTTGTTCCACTTGATCCCATTGGGCTTGTCGCAGTTGTTCACTCCGTAGTTCTGGCACGAGATGTACCCCGCTAGTGGCTCCTTGCTGTCTATAATCACCATCCCCCGCACCTCGTTACTGGAACACAGACAAGGAGAGGGGTTAGAGGGAAGAGGTGAGCAGCAGGAAGCATTGAGACAATAACCCGTGGGATAGCGTGATGCCACCATTGGTGTAAACATGGAGAGGAAAAATCCGCAAGTCGAAACGAAAAGCTCAACAACTCACTTCTTGCCGGTGTTGAGTTTCATGCCATCGGCTGTCTGCTCGCACACAAGTCCATCCACCACCGTTCCAGACGACACCCAGTCGAGATACAGGCAGTGCCCGCCCCCCCGCACGTAGTTGCACCGGAGGACATTCCCGGGGTTTACCCAGTGCGTGTCGAGGTAAATACCCGCACTGTCCCCCAGCTGCCCGAAGCCGTGAACGATGTCGTTTTTGGAGACGAGGGAGAGCATGGCATCGCCGACCATGGACTGCCCCCATCCCAGCTGCATGCTCGCGAGGGTGAAGTTTGAAATGCGGTTGCCAATCACATCGACTCCCACTGCTGCCCGGTATAGCATGATGCCGACACTGCAATGAGAAGTTGGGAACGGGATAGGAACGCAGGGGAGCTGAGAGGGTCTGTTGTATGTTGCATAACCGACCATCGACTGCCCCCATCCCAGCTGCATGCTCGCGAGGGTGAAGTTTGAAATGCGGTTGCCAATCACATCGACTCCCACTGCTGCCCGGTATAGCATGATGCCCACAATGCAGTCAATGTTGGGGGGGGGGAGGGGGGAAGGGAGGAATGGGGAAGGAGGGGAGCTGAGAGGGGATGTCGGGAAAGAAAGGGAGAAAGGAGCATGCGGGTTACTGCCCCATGTCCCATACATGTCCCGTGCCCCTTACCCCATGCCCCGTGCCCCAAGCCCAAGCCCATGCTACACGCCCAGATCGACTCACGCTGCGCCCTGGCCGACGGTGCCCTCCGTCCGAACATTGTTGTTGGAGATCACAACGTTGCTGCGGATGAGGTTGGGCCCGTCCCCAGACAGCATCACCACTATGGCTCCCGGCTGGTTGGTTGCCTTCACGAGCACATCCATTGAGTCTATCCTTGAATTATTTGCTCTCGCCACCTCCACTCGCCCGTACACGTTGCCCTGCCATGGCAGATGAGGATAGGAAGATGAGGATAGGAAGATGAGGATAGGAAGATGAGTATAGACGTGGAGGGCGGACTGGAAGGGTGAAAAGAGAGAGAATGCGGCACATAGCGGTGGAGTGGAGTGGAGTGGGTCTGAGATGGGCTCAGCGTACCTGCACCACTTGTACACCCCATACTCGGTACAGCCACACAGCAGGGCAGGCGTATTTTCCAATGAAGTCAATATAGCGCGTCTCGATATAATTGCAGTCCAGCTGCCCGACAGTCGAAACGGGCATCTTGAAATTCACCCCGAGCACCAAAACGTTGTTCGTGTTGACGATTTTCACCACCATGGCGCTGTGCGGTGGAAGTGGGTGGGCGGTGGTGGGCGGGGGTGGGCGGGAAGGGAGTGGGGGTGGACGGGGAGAGAGTGGGGGAAATAGGGTGAGGAGAAGTTGCAGAGAGGAAGCGGGTGAGCGAATTGGAGCAAGAGCCTGGGGAAGACGGAAAAGGGGGGAGCTAAAGGGAGGAGAAACGGTGGAGAGAGGTTGCACATACTTGACAGAGGGCGAGATGAGGTCATAGGAGCGGTCCTTGTCGGAGCGGAAGACAGTGCAGCTGAACTTAGCGTTGAAGTGAGAGAGTTGAGGAGGGGTGGAGAGCGGTGGAGAGAGGTGTCACGTACTTGACAGAGGGCGAGATGAGGTCGTAGGCGCGGTCCTTGTCAGAGCGGAAGACAGTGCAGCTGAACTTAGCGTCCATTACGAACGTGTCGGTGAGGTTTATGCTCGCCTGCAGCATCATCGTCACGTACTGCGAGTGCAGGGGGACAGAGAAACCAGGGTCGGCATGCAGAGGAGGGCGGGGAGAAGGGGTTTGAGGCGTGTCGGTCAGGTTTATGCTCGCCTGCAGTACCAATGTCACGTACTGCGAGTGCGGCGGCACGGGAATGGAGAGTGGAGGGCAAACAGGCCGTGGATTTGAGAATGAGGTCGTTCAAACGTCCGGCGCGAGAGCGTGCGGCGCGAAAACGACGCGGGAAAGTGCAGAGCGGAAAGATTCCAATTCCAAGGAACGGAAAGGCGGAGCGCGAGGAAGGGCCCGGGGGAGCGCGCGGAAAGGCCTGGGGGAGCGCGCGGAAAGGCCCGGGGGAGCGCGAGGAAGGGCCCGGGGGAGTGCGTACTGGGGAAGGGAAGGCGAACAGCGAGGAGGCGCGGGAACGACGTACGTGACTTCAAATCCCAAGAGGCTCACCTGATTGGCGGGGTAGCTCTTTCGAAGGTAGAGGTCGGACTCGCGCGTCACGTTGATCACCACTCGGGGGAGCAGGCACGGCGGCGCTGCGCGAAGCGGAAAAGCGGCGGCAGGTGCGGCGGGAAGGGGGGGGAGGAGGGGGAGGAGGAGGGGAAGGGTGAGGGGGGGAACGGTCAGAGGAGGGTTCTCAGATAGTACTAATGATGGATGATGTTAGGTGAATGCGAATCGAGAAAACTGCAAACCGCCGGGGGGAGGAGCAGCGGCAAAGGGAAGAGAATGTGGTTATACGCGTACCGGATTGCGACGGAGAGACGAGAGATAGAAGGGTCACAACGACGGGCAGCGCCGCCATTGGAAATAAGCCGGCCTGCGATATTCGCGAACAGCGGATTCGAAAGGGGCGGTACTGGTCAGTCTCGCGGATAGTGTAATCGTAAGCGTAACAGCCGGAATTTAGACGGAAGAAGAAAAGTAAACAACGAATAGATTCTGGGTACTCTGCGAAAGCGCCATCCCGCGGGGCGCGAGGTGGTTGAAACACCTTGTCCTCGCCGCGCGAAACGTGCAACGCACCGTCTCTCGGAATCTCCGCATTTTGAAAGAATTCTTTAGGCAGATTACGACAAACTGGGCCGACGAGAAAGCAGGAGTCGCGTAGCGTGTTCCGCGCGTGAAGCTGTACGCTTGTAACTACGGGTCGCTTCGATCTTTCTGCTAGGGATTCGACTTGATCAGTTTACAGGGCGGTTCGGGGTTACCAGAAGCGGGTCTTATAGAGGACACGGAACGATAGAGGAGCTAGTAACCGGATCGAGCAAAACGTTTAGGAGCCAGTCGAATGAAGTAGAGATCTGAAGTTTACATAACAATAGTAGGTGTGCGCGAAGGTAGAGCTAAGGGAGGGGGAATGTGTCAAGGAAGGAAATTATGGAAGGACCTGGCAGGTGGAGGGAGGGACCATGGGCTGGTTCAGGTTGAGTGTTGGCCTGGAAGACGGGGGGATGGGATGATAGAATCAGAGGGTGGACGTGCTTTGTATTTATTCGACGCTGGGCGTCGCAGCTGGCACCGATGTGAGGGAGAAGCACCCGATTTCTCTGCATCAGGTGACTGCGAAACAGCGGCGCGCTGTCGCAGGGGACGGTGTTTGTCGGCGAGGTCTGCGAAACCTTTTCAAAGCTGCAACAATGGTCATCCTGTGGTGAGAATGCTTTTGACGAATCCGAATAAAATGTAACACTAGGTATCGCTGAATCGCTAGCACAACCTGCCCGCATTTCCGGCGGCAGACAGGTTGATCGAAAACAAACCTCCAACCATGCACTTCGGCATGACACCAACCAGCTCCCTTGTTTGTCCGCATATGGAAGATGGCGGTTGATGATGGAGAAACTTTACTGCACAACGTGTAGAAAGGACACGAATGCCGGCCAGTGTGGAGGACCTGCCAGGCTTCTATGCGGTGGTGATCTGTCCCTCTGATTTTTAGTGTGGTTTTGAGGAGTTCACGTCAGTTGTGGAGCAGAATTCGTTGCCATGTTCCCACTACAATGTGTACGCTTTATAATGTGTTCCACTTGAGAGTCTGATTTTACATTAGAGTACACCCTTCGTTTCCCTCTACTCTCTCAGCACAGCCACCAGCTCACTGCCCCAGTGTCATTTTTTGCTTTCCCGCAAAAATTCCATGGATTCATGCTTCTCTTGAGTACCAAAATCAAATACCACAGTTTCAACATGAGAGATTTACAATCCCTTTGTGCTGTTCTGTAACGCTCCTCGTGGGCCACTCCAAAATATTTACAATGGGTCATTACAAGTCAGTTACATAAATATGAAATTTTTTGAAAGTGTGTAACACTTTCTAAAAATGTGTATTGTGAAAGCGCAGCTTACTGTAGCGAAGCAAGGCAACGGCGAATTACTATTCGCCGAGTACATAACGAGGGTTGGAGGCCTTTTGGCCTCCACCCACGTCTTCATTTCGGAACTTTGCAGTTCCATCCTATTCTCGTTCAACCACCTCGTCGTTCCACTTTCTCCTAGCATTCTGGTTCAACTTTCTCATTCGTAGCTCTCTTTTTCTATAAAAGGCGATGGCGCTTTGCACCAGAATGCCGATTTTAAGAGGGCTTATACGCGCCCACAGCTGTACCTTTCTGCCAGCGGGCGCGCGTGACCCAGCGGGCCCTGACTAAGTGACAAAATCGCCTCAGGCGCGCCTGAGACGAGATCGCCAATGGTGCGCCTGAGACGAAATTGCCTGTGGTGCGCTTGAGACGAAATCGCCAGCGCGCCCGAGACAAGATCGCCAGCTCCCCTGAGACGAAATCGCCAACTCCCCTGAGACGAAATCGCCAGCTCCCCTGAGAAGAAATCGCCAGCTCCCTGGAGACGAAATCGGTAGCTACCCGGAGACGAAATCGCCATAGGCACGCCTGACGACAAAAGCGCTAGTGGCGCGTCTGACGACGAAACCGCCAGTGGCGCGCCTGGCGACGAAATTGCCTGAAGAGATTGCCACCAACGAGACTGACAACGAAATCGCCACCAACGCGACGGATGACGAAATTGCCACAGTCGAGCCTGACAGATTGCAAGGGCGCGCCTGCAAAAATCGTGGTGTGACAAGGCGAAAACGCCACGGACATGACGGGACGCCTCCGCTACATCAACCCCTGCAGCTTCTTCCGGCAATTCGGACGTGACGCCTGCACCGTTATTATCATTTTTTATTGCCACACGGGTATGTGTTTCCATTTCTTCAACTTGGTCAATAATTATATGTCTTCTCTGCTCTGGTTTTTTGGATTGTCGCGCGTTTCATTGATCACAGTTTGCAGGAATATCTGCGCACGGACGAGTGTCAACGCTTGGCACATCCCCGCGTCGTTTCCCAAGAGGGGAAGGGGACCGAGGGTCCCGGCTGGCCAGAGGGCCGTTCCCCATGGGGGGAAGGGGACCGAGGGTCCCGGCGGGCGAGAGGGCCGTTCCCCATGGGGGGAAGGGGACCGAGGGTCCCGGCGGGCCAGAGGGCCGTTCCCCATGGGGGGAAGGGGACCGAGGGTCCCGGCGGGCCAGAGGGCCGTTCCCCATGGGGGGGAGGGGACCGAGGGTCCCGGCTGGCCAGAGGGCCGTTCCCCATGGGGGGAAGGGGACCGAGGGTCCCGGCTGGCCAGAGGGCCGTTCCCCATGGGGGGAAGGGGACCGAGGGTCCCGGCTGGCCAGAGGGCCGTTCCCCATGGGGGGAAGGGGACCGAGGGTCCCGGCTGGCCATAGGGCCGTTCCCCATGGGGGGAAGGGGACCGAGGGTCCCGGCTGGCCAGAGGGCCGTTCCCCATGGGGGGAAGGGGACCGAGGGTCCCGGCTGGCCAGAGGGCCGTTCCCCATGGGGGGAAGGGGACCGAGGGTCCCGGCTCGTGACATGCGGAGATAGAGAGAGAGAGACACGAGAGCTGGCACACGGGTCATTGCGCTAAGGAAGGAGTATATGCACATTGCGACAAGCTTGTGCTATGTAGAAAAAAGGGGACTTACCGTATGCCATCCTTGGCTGCCGGTATAATGCCTTTCAAAATCGTTTTTGTCCGTACGTGTCCTTGTATGTGCATTTGTATTTGATTGTTAAAAAATGCTCGAATTGGAAGTCTTGGTTACAAACCACCTTGAACATGGCTTGAGAAAAGATTGTTCTTGTCGAAATGAATCTACAACGGCTTTAAGGCCTTCATATGCTGCCCTCGACGCACACAAGGAACAGAGATACGGTACACCTGCTCTCACATTGAGTCCGAGGTTTGTGATCGCTTATTTCTGCCTTGTTGTGATGTTTCTGGAACTCCCACATTAGATGACCTACTCATGATTGATTCCAGGTGTGATGTATACATAGTACGCAGTTCTGTGAAAGTATCCTGGCTGGAACATTTATTCTTGTACGGGTTTTTATTGCTCAATCATACGGTACATACGATCATTTACCATCCGGCGAACTTCTCAAAGTCCCCAATGGTAATACAAAGCCATACCTCTGCGTTTGCACTCCTCCTAATGCGGCTCTCGCGCCTCATGCACCCATCCCAAGCCATCCCGCCTGCTAATCCACTTGGTGATTTCATTCTAACGATCGTATGCCAGTTACGAGGCTTCATTGGCAATCTTGGCCTCTCGTGTGCTCTCGCGGACAATCGCGAACGTGAAAAGCAGCTCTTGACAATAATTCTAGAGTAGTCGCTAACTCCGTCATACAAAAATCACTTGCATGCAATGTCGCTCTGTTATCCACACGTCAATCACGCGGCATCATCGGGAGACGTCAACATCCACGCCCTCGGCAGCTAACATCAACCACCAGTTTCAACCACACTCTTCTGCTGCGCCAACAACCAGGGACATCTACATAAATGGAACGAGCAACCGTCATACACAACATTCCGAAACCCACCGGCATGGCGATCGCATCGCAACCAACCAACGCCACCTCTCTCAGCAATTCGTCGAGGCCATCAACCTTAACAAGACTCAGCACGCCTTCACCGCTCCTAACTACACATGTCTCAGTAAACCCAACTGTAATGAAGCACGTTGCCATTGCAAGAGCAGAAAGCAAGCTTTCTCAATATGAAATTTTTTGAAAGTGTGTAACACTTTCTAAAAATGTGTATTGTGAAAGCGCAGCTTACTGTAGCGAAGCAAGGCAACGGCGAATTACTATTCGCCGAGTACATAACGAGGGTTGGAGGCCTTTTGGCCTCCACCCACGTCTTCATTTCGGAACTTTGCAGTTCCATCCCCCACCCACCCACCCTAGTCGTATCTTTGTATAATCTATAGTTAGATTGGACGAGAATGATGTAATCACTGCAACTGTAATGAAGCACGTTGCCATTGCAAGAGCAGAAAGCAAGCTTTCTCAATATGAAATCAAACATCTTTGGGCTGGTGGGTAAGGTTCAGCTACCTAACCTACTGGATTTCGGTTGAAACTGTACAAAATGAAACAATGGAGCATAAAAGAATGGAGTGGCATGGCATGCTTGTAGTCTCCACCAAGAACCGTAAGTCACGCCTTCTGCGGGGGGGGGGTTATTGGCGGTGGGGGTGCCGGGCATGGAACCCCAGCCGCTTCCGCATCGTCATCACGATCCAGGCCCAGCTCTCTTTTCAGTCGACTCAAAAGTCATTTCATGCCTTCTGCAGGGGGGGTGGCTGGCGGCTGGGGTGGCGTGCGTGAAACCTCATCCATTCCCGCATCGTCATCATGAATCCAGGCCGCAGCTCTCGCTCCAGTTGCGGGCTCCACTTGCTAGTAGCGTACGGGTTCGGCTGTAGTGTCACATTGCCGGATACATGCCCTCCACCATACCCCACATTGCTCGATGCGCTCCCGTTTTTTCCGACGGATGCAGGCCGGGCCGCAATCGGCATCATTGTTGGAGCGTCGCGATTGAAAAGGTCGAAGTATTCCGTGTAGGGCACGGTTTTCGGGCCAATGTCCTGCACCGGGCAGCTCCGAAAAGTTGGGAGCTTTGCCCGAATTTGGGAACTGTCAACAAGGCCGAAGTCTCGGTTCTCCACGCTCCTGAACCCGGCGGCACTAAGTTTCACGGGCAGGTAGGTCAGCTTGTTAATCTTCGGCATGGCGGTGAACGGATTGCAGTTGGAGTGGCAGATAACGAGGCGGGTGGAATTATCAGTGGTAGCCGTGACAATCTCGGCAATGTTTTCGGTGGGCAGCCCGGAACATCTGCCCGTAATGTTAGGCCCGGGAGTGGCTGATGTGCCCTCGTTGCAGTTGACTCCGTTAATGGAGGTTTTGGCGCAGAAGTTGGTGAGGAAGGGGAAGAGCTGGTGGTGGGGATTTGGGAGACGGGGAGGGGGAGGGTCAGGATAGTGGAGGGGAGGGGTAGCAGAGGGGAGGGGTAGCGGAGGGGAGGGGTAGCGGAGGGGAGGGGTAGCGAAGGGGAGGGGTAGCGGAGGGGAGGGGTAGCAAAGGGGAGGGGTAGCGTAGGGGAGGGGTAGCGAAGGGGAGGGGTAGCGAAGGGGAGGGGTAGCGTAGTTAGTGAGGAAGGGGAAGAGCCGGTGCAGAGGCATTCGGGAAGGAGGAACGGTCAAATATATAGAATCATTGTAGAATGATTTAAAGAGGGCACAACCATAAGGCATAGCCCTTAAGAATGGGTCTAAGCAAACCCAAGTGAGGTAAAAAAAAAACTTACCTTCTTGATTCCTGGCGTCTGGTAATAAGTGAGCAAGTCGTTGTTCCACCTTATCCCGTTGGGCTTGTCGCAGTTGTTCACTCCGTAGTTCTGGCACGATATGTACCCTGCTAGAGGCTGCTTGCTGTCTATAATCACCATTCCGCGAATCTCGTTACTGGAACAATGCATGAGAGGAAGAGAACACGTGGAATGGGATGGAATGGGATGGAATGAGGTGGAACGCGGTGGAATGTGGTGGAGAGAGTGGAGTGCTGAAAAGGCAAGAGACAGGGTGCCCATGTACTCACTTCTTTCCCGTGTTGAGCTTCAGCCCATCTGCAGTGTTGTCACACACGAGCCCATCCACGATCACTCCCGACGACACCCAGTCAAGATACACGCAGTGCCCGCCCCTATGACAAATTGAGTGACAGAGTATCCTTGTACTCACTTCTGCCCTGTGTTGAGCTTTAACCCATCGGCTGTCTGATCACACACGAGTCCATCCACGATCACTCCAGAAGACACCCAGTCGAAATACAAACAGTGCCCGCCGCCCCGCACGTAGTTGCACCGGAGGACATTTCCGGGGTTTACCCAGTGCGTGTTGAAGTAAATACCCGCACTATCCCCAAGCTGCCCGAATCCGTGAACAAAGTCGTTTTGGGCAACGAGGGTTAGCATTGCATCTCCCACGTTGCTCTGCCCCCATCCCATCTGGATGCTGTTGAGGGTGAAGTGTGACAGGCGATTGTTCACCACATTCACACCCACTGCTCCTCGGAACAGCATTATGCCGACACTGCAATGGATGCGGTGGTGGGCAGGCAGGCAGAGAACAGAGGGCAACGAGGGTGAGCATGGTGTCTCCCACGTTGACTTTTGAGGCGCCTCAAACCAAGTCGTTCTGAGCAACGAGGGTGAGCATGGCGTCTTCCACGTTGCTCTGCCCCCATCCCATCTGGATGCTGTTGAGGGTGAAGTGTGATAGGCGATTGTTAACAATGTTCACGCCCACTGCTCCTCGGAACAGCATTCTGCCGACACTGGAGTGAATGGGGGATGGACGGTACGGGGAGAAGGGAGAGGGAAGGGGAAAGGAGGGGAGGTGAGAGGAGTGGATGGGAGGAAAGAGGAAGCAAGCTCGAAGCTGTTGAGGGAGAAGTGTGACAGGCGGTTGCCAACAATGTTCACGCCAACTGCTCGAAACAGCATTATGCCGACACTGCAGTGAATGGGGTGGTGGGCAGGGTTAGCATGGCGTCTCCAACGTTGCTCTGCCCCCATCCCATCTGGATGCTGTTGAGGGTGAAGTGTGATAGGCGGTTGCCCACCACATTCACACCCACTGCTCCCCGGAACAGCATTATGCCGACACTGCGATTGAAACAGGAAGGAGGGGAGGGGGGAAAAGATGAAGGCTTGCGAGGGTGAAGTGTGATAGGCGACACACACACACAAAAAAAAAAAAGAAAATAAATTTAAGGGGTGTATAAAAAGCGACTCACGTGGCGCCCTGGCCCATGGTGCCCTCGGTCCGAATGTTGTTGTTAGAAATAACAACCTCGCTGCGGATGAGGTTGGGTCCATCTCCTGACAGCATCACCACAATGGCTCCGGGCTGGTTGGTTGCCTTCACGAGCACATCCATTGAGTCGATGCGCGAGCGGTTTGCCCTCGCCACCTCCACTCGCCCGTACACATTGCCCTGGGTGAGAGGAAGATGACAGGAGGAGCAAGATAGAAAGATGGCTCAGGACTGGTTGGTCGCCTTCACGAGCACATCCATTGAGTCGATGCGCGAGAGATTTGCCCTCGCCACCTCCACCCTCCCGTACGCATTGCCCTGGATTAAAAAAAGTCACGAGAGGGCAGTGAGAGCACATCCATTGAGTCGATGCATGAGCGATTTGCTCATGCCAAATACGTTGCCATATACGTTGCTCATGCCAAATACGTTGCCATATACGTTGCTCATGCCAAATACGTTGCCATATACGTTGCTCATGCCAAATACGTTGCCATATACGTTGCTCATGCCAAATACGTTGCCATATACGTTGCTCATGCCAAATACGTTGCCATATACGTTGCTCATGCCACCTCCACTCGGCCATATACGTTGCCCTGGATTGAGAGAGGACGAGGAGGACAGGAGTAGGATAAACCGCTATTCCTCTTTTGCTTTCGCTCTTATGGCATAGGCCAGGGCAAATGCGATGGGGAGTGGTAAGATTGGTCTGAGATAAAATAAACTCAGCATACCTGCACCACTTGTACACCCCATACTCGGTACAGCCACAGAGCAGGGCAGGCATATTTTCCGATGTAGTCGATATAGCGCGTCTCAATATAATGACAATCCAGCTGCCCGACAGTCGAAACGGGCATCTTGAAATTCACCCCGATCACCAATACGTTGTTGGTGTTGACGATCTTTGTAACCATGGTGCTGGGGGGAGAAGGTGGTGGGTGGGGTTTCAGGGGGAGGGAGTGGGGAAAAGAAGGAGACAAGAAGCTGGAGAGAGGAAATGGGAGTTGACAATCTTTGCAACCATGGTGCTGGGGGGGAGGGAGAGGGGTAGGCGGGGAGGGAGTGAGAGGTGGGAATGGGGCGTGATGTGAGGAGATTGGTGAGACGAAGTGAGTGAGGGGAAGGGGGCGATGGAAAGGGGAGGAGGGAAAGGGGGGGATACGCTGCTTGGGAGAAACAAAGGGAACACAGTGCAGGTAAACTTCGAGTTTGAGAGGGGTAGTAAGGATAAAAAAGGTGTGGAGAGCGGTGGAGAGAGGCGGCACGTACTTGACAGAAGGTGAGATGAGGTCAAAGCCGCGGTCTGTGGCGGAGCGGAAGACAGTGCAGCTGAATACTCAGAGAGGGGTCGGAGGCTTAAAAAGGGGTGGAGAAAGGTCGAGAGCGGTGGGACGTACTTGACAGAGGGCGAGATGAGGTCGAAGCCGCGGTCTGTGGCGGAGCGGAAGACAGTGCAGCTGAACTTAGCGTCCATTACAAAGGTGTCGGTCAGCTGTATGCTCGCCTGCAGCACCATCGTCACGTACTGGTAAAGCAGGGAGGGTAATCAGGAGAAGGGCAACGGGAGGAGGATTTGAAACAGGCCATGCCACTCCAAGCACAGTGCAGCTGAACTTAGCGTCCATTACAAAGGTGTCGGTTAGCTGTATGCTCGCCTGCAGCACCATCGTCACGTACTGGTGGGGACAGACAGGGGGCAGCAACAGCAAGGGGAGAACAACCATATGATGATGGAAAGAAGAGGCTCTTGAGACACTCACGCTGATTGCCAGGTTACCTCAGACGGTTACCTGAGAGGCTCACCTGATTGGCGGGGTAGTTTTTTCGAAGGTAGAGGTCCGACTCGCGCGTCACGTTGATCCGCACTTGTGGGAGGAGGCACGGCGCTGCGCAGAGCGGAAACCATAAGTCGGCATGTGCGGCGGATATAGCATAGCATATAGCATCCAAGAGGAGAAAGGATGTTATTTTTCTCAGCGGTTGATGTCAGCCTGAGGAAAGATAGGGGATTCGCAAAGACAGCCCGGAAAGGGCCCGGGCATTGCGGGCGACTCGGAAGGCGGGGATGCGATGGGGAAAGATTGCGAATCGGCGAACACTCGGGGTAACGGCCGCTTGACGGCGGTTCGGAAAGGGTGCGAGGAGACGCGTACCTGATCGTGACACAGAGACAAGAGAGAGAAGCGCCACGAGGACGGGTAGCGCCGACTTTTGAGTCGACTCAAAAGTCAACTCGAAGTCAACTCAATCAACTTGCGTGGAGACGCGTACCTGATAGCGACAGGGAGACAAGAGAGAGAAGCGCCACGAGGACGGGTAGCGCCGCCATTGCCCGTGGAAATAGGGCCTGCGATGTCGCGTGCGTAAGTATCGCGACGAAACATAACTTCCCGTCGACATTATTAAAAAGGGATTAGTGAACAAAACTTCGCGATTGCCAGTTCTCGCGAAGCGAGAGGTGATTATTGCGCCCAACCCTAGCCGTGCGAGGAAGGTAACGCACCGTCTCACGGGATATCTGCATTCCAAAAGATCGCAGGGGAAGAATACAGAAATGCAGATTGAACGAGAAAGGTCCAAGAGAGGGTCTTGGTCTGGTTCGATTTGAGTGGTGTTCGAATTCAAGGCGGACGTGCTTTGCATTTATTCCAGTCCACGGCGGCCCAGGTGGCGGCGAAGCGAACGAAAAGAGCCCGATTGCTCGCGTCAGGTGATTGCGAAACAGCGCGGCGCTCGTTCAGGGGACGGTGTTTGTCGGCGATGTCGGCGAAGCTTTTCGCAGCTGTCAGCTTTGGTCATCTTGTGCTGTACAAGCTGACAAAAAGTATCAGTTACCCTAACAATTCGCGAAGCTCATCTTGTTCAAACACCCTGGTCGCATTCCTTCGCCTGCTCTGCTTACCAACTCAATTCGTTGCCAAAATCCTGCTTCGGTACAATGGGTGTACTTCGAGACGAGATTTACCTCCACTACCTGCCACCATCTCCCTCTCCCGTACCAATCTAGAGGTGCACACATGAGATGTCTTGCTTTTGCATCATATCGCAAGCTCATGGTGAGCTGACTTATGGTAAAAAGCCCACTGCAAAGAGCACAAACTCTTGATAAACCGATTTTCTAGACAAAGGTTCTTGATGGATGCATTCTTCTGACTAAACATTTGCGTACCATACATCACGTGCACGAGTCGCACCACGTGCATTCACTCGACCTAAGACGATAATAAGCACAGAGACTCCGAATCCATCGCCCCTACCGAAGCCCCTGCATCCAATATTTATTTTCCCTACACGACATACTTGGCAAGTTATCGCGCCAGAAAGCATAATCACCAAAAAAAAGTCGCGTTGGAAGACTGTCACCGCTCCGACCAACCAACCGTTCGTCCGTCTCACGGGAAATTAACCGCCGTGCGATAAATCCTATTACTAACCCAATTCGCGGGTACAGCATCCCACGCCTCGAGCGGGAGATTCCCGAGGGCGGGCCAGAGGCGGAAGGAGAGCGACATGCCGACCACGGGCAAGCCGGGCATGTCCCACACCGCGCCGTAGCTCTTGCGCATCGGCATCCACGGGCCGCGCGCGATCGAGATGTCGACGCGCTTCACGGCGCCAGATCCGGCCACGTTGAGGGGCATGGCTGGGGGAAAAGAGAAGGCACGGCAACGTCAGAAGTGTGATGATGTGTTTTGATGAAAAACGAATATGTTGGATGGTACTCCATTTTCGATGTGATGAATGGATACAAGGTGGAGAAGAAAAAACAACAGCACTTCTGAAAAATTAGATGCTGGCTGCGAAGCAGTCCCCACAACCGCCTCTAAACAATGACGCGGCGCCCGATACAAGCACATCGTTTACTCTCACCTGTGACGTAGTACTCCTTCCCAGTGATATTGAACGCAACGCCACCGACGCGCCGGCACCTGACGCGCTTAATCTCCACGGGAACCACGCCGGCCGAGGGATCCTTCGACATTTGATTCCACACAGGATTGGGAAGTGTGATGCTTCGCTTATTTCCCGCGCAGTACCCGCCAGGAGCATCCGGTGGGCAAATATTCGTGACAGTAACGGGCACCGTCATGATTCCCGGTTTGCACGACGGGTGGCCGGTGCAGCGCATCTGGAAACACGCGCCGCAGTTGCTGCCGTTAGCGTAGCCTACAGTGGACATGGAAGCGGTGTTGTGGTGCAACATGGGGTACCCGCACGCGCCGTTGGGGCGGTTCTGGAGCGCATAGTAGGACGCGACGAATCCTTTGATCCACTGCGCGGAGATCGCAGCGGTGAAGGAGGAGAGGCAGAGCGCGAGAAGCAACACGCAGGGGGCTATTTGGGGACGCATGGTTGGTGACTATACTGGCCTATCGAATCCCCTTAGAAACGTTCTTAACAAACTGGACTAAACAACCCGACTCAGAGGAATCCGACGACTTGAGAATGGGGTTCCAGAACAAATACTGAACCAGAACTAGGGCTGTATTACATTAATTCTGTGTTCCGAGCCGAGATACTATCGAGGTTGACTTGAGGGGTGGGGCGAGAGATGATAAGAGCTGGATTCGATCAACGATGCGCGGATGCGTGGGGAGGAGAAGCGAGGTGAGAGGGAGGTGGGGAGGTAGGGAGTGGGGAGTCGAGGCGAGGCGAAATGATAGATGCACCTCGATAAATCTCTGCACGGAAAGCAACAGCGAAGCGGTCTTGCGCAATTCCCGATTGAGTCACGGATCGCCATATTTGTGTGTGTCACTTTTCGAAGCGCTGAAGATTTTGAATGCGATGCGCGCCTCTATGGTCTGCCCGTGACAGGCTACCACTGACTCTCGTTATCGCCGTACGCGATTTCATAAATGAAAGCAATATACTACTACTTATGAACACCTTTACATATACCATCATGAATCGAAGAATGGAAGTGTTGCCATTCTGTAAAGCTGATGCGCTGTTGAGTACGGTAGGTGCATAATTATGTTTGTACAAGAACAGTAAAATGTCCAGCTATCATCGTCCAGATGTTGCGGTCTTGCCACCTCCATCCCCGCCCAAATGCTCCACTTGAAAATGGCACCCACCTACAGGACTAGCGGCCGGCGGTCTTGTCTGCAGAGCAAGCAACGTTCCGTTCCCGAACATGGACGCAAACATGGCAAACGTGCTGACGTATTTATTGAAGCTCACAAGCACACGGGCCCGACTGAGCAAGAAAAACTCAGCCATGGTTGGGGACGGCTGCTGTATAAAATGCTCCTCAGGCACTCCTTTCTGCCTCTCTGAGTGGTCCGAACCTTCTGCTGCTTCTCCTTCCCCTTCTGCTCTACCTTCCAATCCCCCTGTTCCTCCTGCTCCCGCTTGCCCACCTCCTGCTGATGCTGCTACTGCTGCTGCTGCTGCTGCTGCAGCAGCACCACTTTTCGACGTGTGAGTGACGGCTCCAGTGGAGAAAAAGACATCCCCGGCCACCGGCCCAATCTTATCCACAAACTGCGGCCGCAGGTTCTCGTTGTCCGTTGCCAAAAAGACGGAAAGCGGCTTCAGAGACGACAAAGCACCGCTCTCAATCCCCTCCAACCCATCCCCGAGATCCCCACCGCGGCGCGCTTTTCTAAACCCCCGCCCACCCTCTTCCTTCACTAAGCCCTGACCAGCCCGGCTAGCCCGACCAGACAAGGACTGGAGAAGAGAGAGTAACGGGTCTGGGTTGTCTTTGGAGGGGTTGGGAAGCTTGATGCCGGATTTGCGGGTGCGGAGGAAGAGGAGGAGGCGGGAGATGCAGGCCCACTTGTCGGGTGTGAGGAACTGCTGCATGTGTGCTGCTTCTGCTGCCCTCAGCTGCTGCTGCTCGTGCTCGCAGTCGCTGTCGGTTTCGTGGCACGAGGGGTGCTCCACTAAGCTGGTAATGGGAGGGTGGGAGGAATACGAGGAAGGAAGGCAGGATTGTTAGCAGCGAAACAGGAGCAGACGCATGAGGAACTGTTGGATGTGTGCTGCCTCCGCTGCCCTCAGCTGCTGCTGCTCGTGCTCACACTCCCTGTCCGTTTCACGGCAGGATGGGAGCTCCAGCAAGCTGGTATGGGGAGTCTAGTTTTGAGGCGCCTCAGAACTGTGCTTGCAGTCCCTGTCTGTATGACGGCAGGATGGGTGCTCCACCAAGCTGGTATGGGGAGGAGCGGGATGACTTTTGAGTCGACTCAAAAGTCACCCTGTTTCACGGCAGGATGGGTGCTCCAGCAAGCTGGTATGAGGAGGAGTGGGAGATGAGGACGAAGGCGAGGAGGGTTAGGGAGAGGAGCCAAGGCGGGAAATTTGGGGAAAGATGGAGGGAAGGGAGGGGGCGCGGAAGGGAGCAGCGGCAGGGGCATGATCAACTGTTGCACAAGCACTCACTTGGTGGCTGTGGCGGTGGCTGTGAGTGCAGGGGCGAATTTAAAGCACCCATTTGGAAGCACCCATTTGGAAGCACCCATTTGGAAGCACCCATTTGGAAGCACCCATTTGGAAGCACCCATTTGGTGGCTGTGGCTGTGCGTTCACAGGGGCAACCTAGAGAACTCACTTGGTGGCAGTGCGGATCTGAATGGCAACATCGAATTGCAGCCGCAGCCCCCTGCCCTTCCTGCCACCATGACTTGTGACAGCATCACTTGGTGGCTGTGATTGTGAGGTAGCACTCACTTAGTGGGATTTCACACTCACTTGGTGGCAGTGCGGATCTGAATGGCAACATCGAATTGCAGCCGCAGCCCCCTGCCCTTCCTGCCACCATGACTTGTGACAGCATCACTTGGTGGCTGTGATTGTGAGGTAGCACTCACTTAGTGGGATTTCACACTCACTTGGTGGCAGTGCGGATCTGAATGGCAACATCGAATTGCAGCCGCAGCCCCCTGCCCTTCCTGCCACCATGACTTGTGACAGCATCACTTGGTGGCTGTGATTGTGAGGTAGCACTCACTTAGTGGGATTTCACACTCACTTGGTGGCAGTGCGGATCTGAATGGCAACATCGAATTGCAGCCGCAGCCCCCTGCCCTTCCTGCCACCATGACTTGTGACAGCATCACTTGGTGGCTGTGATTGTGAGGTAGCACTCACTTAGTGGGATTTCACACTCACTTGGTGGCAGTGCGGATCTGAATGGCAACATCGAATTGCAGCCGCAGCCCCCTGCCCTTCCTGCCACCATGACTTGTGACAGCATCACTTGGTGGCTGTGATTGTGAGGTAGCACTCACTTAGTGGGATTTCACACTCACTTGGTGGCAGTGCGGATCTGAATGGCAACATCGAATTGCAGCCGCAGCCCCCTGCCCTTCCTGCCACCATGACTTGTGACAGCATCACTTGGTGGCTGTGATTGTGAGGTAGCACTCACTTAGTGGGATTTCACACTCACTTGGTGGCAGTGCGGATCTGAATGGCAACATCGAATTGCAGCCGCAGCCCCCTGCCCTTCCTGCCACCATGACTTGTGACAGCATCACTTGGTGGCTGTGATTGTGAGGTAGCACTCACTTAGTGGGATTTCACACTCACTTGGTGGCAGTGCGGATCTGAATGGCAACATCGAATTGCAGCCGCAGCCCCCTGCCCTTCCTGCCACCATGACTTGTGACAGCATCACTTGGTGGCTGTGATTGTGAGGTAGCACTCACTTAGTGGGATTTCACACTCACTTGGTGGCAGTGCGGATCTGAATGGCAACATCGAATTGCAGCCGCAGCCCCCTGCCCTTCCTGCCACCATGACTTGTGACAGCATCACTTGGTGGCTGTGATTGTGAGGTAGCACTCACTTAGTGGGATTTCACACTCACTTGGTGGCAGTGCGGATCTGAATGGCAACATCGAATTGCAGCCGCAGTCCCCTGCCCTTCCTGCCACCATGACTTGTGACAGCATCACTTGGTGGCTGTGATTGTGAGGTAGCACTCACTTAGTGGGATTTCACACTCACTTGGTGGCAGTGCGGATCTGAATGGCAACATCGAATTGCAGCCGCAGCCCCCTGCCCTTCCTGCCACCATGACTTGTGACAGCATCACTTGGTGGCTGTGATTGTGAGGTAGCACTCACTTAGTGGGATTTCACACTCACTTGGTGGCAGTGCGGATCTGAATGGCAACATCGAATTGCAGCCGCAGCCCCCTGCCCTTCCTGCCACCATGACTTGTGACAGCATCACTTGGTGGCTGTGATTGTGAGGTAGCACTCACTTAGTGGGATTTCACACTCACTTGGTGGCAGTGCGGATCTGAATGGCAACATCGAATTGCAGCCGCAGCCCCCTGCCCTTCCTGCCACCATGACTTGTGACAGCATCACTTGGTGGCTGTGATTGTGAGGTAGCACTCACTTAGTGGGATTTCACACTCACTTGGTGGCAGTGCGGATCTGAATGGCAACATCGAATTGCAGCCGCAGCCCCCTGCCCTTCCTGCCACCATGACTTGTGACAGCATCACTTGGTGGCTGTGATTGTGAGGTAGCACTCACTTAGTGGGATTTCACACTCACTTGGTGGCAGTGCGGATCTGAATGGCAACATCGAATTGCAGCCGCAGCCCCCTGCCCTTCCTGCCACCATGACTTGTGACAGCATCACTTGGTGGCTGTGATTGTGAGGTAGCACTCACTTAGTGGGATTTCACACTCACTTGGTGGCAGTGCGGATCTGAATGGCAACATCGAATTGCAGCCGCAGTCCCCTGCCCTTCCTGCCACCATGACTTGTGACAGCATCACTTGGTGGCTGTGATTGTGAGGTAGCACTCACTTAGTGGGATTTCACACTCACTTGGTGGCAGTGCGGATCTGAATGGCAACATCGAATTGCAGCCGCAGCCCCCTGCCCTTCCTGCCACCATGACTTGTGACAGCATCACTTGGTGGCTGTGATTGTGAGGTAGCACTCACTTAGTGGGATTTCACACTCACTTGGTGGCAGTGCGGATCTGAATGGCAACATCGAATTGCAGCCGCAGCCCCCTGCCCTTCCTGCCACCATGACTTGTGACAGCATCACTTGGTGGCTGTGATTGTGAGGTAGCACTCACTTAGTGGGATTTCACACTCACTTGGTGGCAGTGCGGATCTGAATGGCAACATCGAATTGCAGCCGCAGCCCCCTGCCCTTCCTGCCACCATGACTTGTGACAGCATCACTTGGTGGCTGTGATTGTGAGGTAGCACTCACTTAGTGGGATTTCACACTCACTTGGTGGCAGTGCGGATCTGAATGGCAACATCGAATTGCAGCCGCAGCCCCCTGCCCTTCCTGCCACCATGACTTGTGACAGCATCACTTGGTGGCTGTGATTGTGAGGTAGCACTCACTTAGTGGGATTTCACACTCACTTGGTGGCAGTGCGGATCTGAATGGCAACATCGAATTGCAGCCGCAGTCCCGTGCCCTTCTTCACTCTTGCTCCGCCCACCTCCTCACTCTCCCCACCATCCTCGCTATAAGCCGACTCGCTATCAGCAGAAGAGGCTGCTGCAGCCCCGCAACCCTGCTCCGCATAACTGCCCTCAGCATCATACTCCTCAAGCTGCCGTACTTTGCTCGGTGCTGAGGTGGCAGGTGTTGAAGTGCTAAGTGCCGGAGTGCTTTTGAGCAGACTCAAAAGCAGCTTCTGAGTCAACTCAAAAGCAGTGCTAGGTGCTGGAGTGCTGAGTGCTGAGGTGCCAATTGTTGAGGTGTTAGGAGTTGAAGTGTTAGGAGCTGGAGTGCTAGGCTGGTCACTGCTGCTACCTGTCGCTGCCGCTCCTGCTGCTGCCACTGCCACAGTTGCTGTTGCTGTTGTTGCTGTTGCTGCTGTGACAGTCTCCCTACCCGCAATGTGTTGCTCCTTCTCTTTCGCATGCACTTCCTCATTCCCCCCTTCTGCTGCTGCCTTGTCGTGCCCTGATTTACTTTGCTCCTTCTCTTCACGCTCTTGACCACTCGGAAGACCCGAATGGGTTGTTACGACCTCCTCCGACCTCACCATCCTCCCCACCAGCCTGCGCCTCGCCCCTCCACCACCTCTCCATCTCCCTTCTTCTCTCCCTCCTGCACTTCTTTCCTCTACCTCTCCCTCCTCCTCTCCTCCTAACTGCATCCTCTCCTTACCCCTCCTCCCAGCCCCACCACCTCCCTCCCCTCTTCCCTCCTCCCTCTTACCCTCGCTCCCACCACTCTCCCCCCACCTTTTCCTCCGCACAATCTCCTCAATCACCTCTTGAAGCGCAGACACAGGACCATGCCCTAGTAAGGCATGAATGGCATGGCTCCTCACACACCAGATGTTATGGCAGTGAAACGCCCGCTGCACACAGGGAGACAGCCTCCCGTTCTTATGCCAGAAATTATCGAAAAAGCTGCCCGTGTTCACGTGCACCACGGGCAGCCCGGAGTGCAGGGCAGAAAGAAACTCTTGTCTCGGCGCGTGCAGCTCCAGAGGCTCGCTGACGTGGCGGATGTCGTCAGTGAAATTGACCAATGGCGCGACGCCGCTGCAGTCAAACGTGGTGCACAGGTGATCAAGCACGGCCCTGTGTTTGCCTCCGTGCCACCGCAGCAACCGCCGGCCGGAGAGGAGCGCGTAGACGTAAGCAGAGCAGAATCCCCGCAGGGAGTTGCCTAAGCCGAAGCGTGGGAACCACACTAAGTACCGCTCCTGCTGCGGCTGCTGCAGCTGGTCCTGCTGTTGTTGATCGTCGCTGGAAGAGGAGGAAGAGGAGGAGGAGGACTGAGAAGCGTGGGGATGCATGGAGGCTGCTACAGCAGCAAGAGCAGCTTCGGCTGAAGACTGCTGCTGCGCGTAGTGCTCTCCCGCCTCTCCCTGCGCTCCCTGCCCTCCCTGCCCGTCCTGCTCCTCTCTGCCTCGCAACCCCTCATTAGCGTACGCGGGGAGGGGCTGTGGGTCGAAGAGTGGCGAGGAGAGCGCTGTGAGGTGCTCGCCCGTGACAGGCGTGGGGGTGAGCACACCCGTGGGCTGGTCAAACACTTCGGGGGGGAGTACCTTGGCGCAAGAGGCTAAAGCCTGAGGCAGAGGGGGGGGAAGGAAGGGAGGATGGGAAGAAAGGGGGAAGGAGAGCGCTGTGAGGTGCTCGCCCGTAACAGGCGTGGGGGTGAGGATGGGCGTGGGCTGATCAAACACTTCAGGAGGTAAGACCTTGGCACACGAGGCTAGGGCCTGGGGAAGGGGGGGGGGAAGGAAGGGAGGATGGGAAGAAAGGGGGAAGGAGAGTGCTGTGAGGTGCTCGCCCGTGACAGGCGTGGGTGTGAGGATGGGCGTGGGCCGGTCGAACACTTCAAGGGGGAGGACCTTGGCGCACGCGGCTAGAGAGGCAGAGGGGGGGGGGAAGGATGGATGGGAAGATGAGAAGGGGAGGGAGGAGAGTCAAGAGGGTCGCCCGTGACAGGCGTGGGTGTGAGCGCACCTGTGGGTTATTAAAAATTTCGGGGGGAGGGGAGGGGGGAGGGAGAGGGAGCACCTTCGCATACGAGGCTAAGACTGGGTAAGGGGGGAGGGGGGGAGGTGGGAGGAGAAAGGGGGTAATGACTCGGAGGAACTTACTTGGCTGGTTGCATGACTCACCTGGGAACTCATATGTCAAATGCATAATAACCTCTTCATACACTCACAGCAGACATTAACCCTGTTGTGTACAACTCACATCCATATCCGATGTCAAGTTCCGCACAAAAGGGCTCCGCCAGCTGGGTCCAACCACCCCATCCGTCCACTGCCACTGGCAGCCCTGGTCTTGTTGACTGCCCACCAGGAATCGGTCCTCGCGGGGGCCCAACCTCAGGGATCAAACTGTCACGTCATGCATGCAGATACTCACATCCATATCCAAAGAAAGGTTTCGCACAAAGGGGCTTCTCCAGCTGCTCCCCACCACCCCGTCCGTCCACTGCCACTGGTAGCCCTGGTCTTGCTGACTGCCGACCAGGAATCGGTCCTCCCGCGGGTCGCCGTTCAGGCGGAACGCCACGCTGCGCACCCACGCGTCCTTTAACCAGTTCATGATGAGCTGGCGGCGGGGACGGGTTGCCTCGGCATTGTCGTCCTCCGAAAACGCGTCCTTCAGCCAATTCATGATCAGCTGCCGGCGCCGCGAGGGGGGTGCCACGTCATCCTCAGACAACGCTTTCTTGAGCAAGCTCAGGCGGTGCCGCGGAGAACGGGACTGAGGAGGGTGCAAGTGAGGCAAGGCGGGCGGGTGATGGTTGTCCTGGTAAAGGTTGTGCTGCTGCGAGGCACGGCCGCTTACAGCAGCTGCCTCATGTTGCAACTGTGACCACGCCTCGTCATCCTCCCTCTCCTCCTCTTCGTGCTGCTCCTCACCCTCCCCCTCTTCATCTCCTTCTTCCGCCCCCTCTTCCGTCCCCTCTGGTCGGCGCACAAAGTAAATGCCCGCTGCTCTTGCTGACGGGAGAAGCAACTCAAGGCTCAAAAACGGCGAATCCGCCTCTGCTTTCCCCTCCCTTCCCAGCCAAATCTGGTCCCCTCGTTGTCGCCCTTCCCTCTCCTTATCCTCCTTCCCCTTATCCTTCTCCTTATCCTCTCTTCGTGAATCCTCCGAACCTGTGGATGCCTGCGACAGCTGCTGCTCCGGAATGCTTTGAAAAAGACCCCACAGCAGGTGTGGGACCCGCTTGCTTGAAAGACCGTTATGACATAACCTAGAGGTGTTACAGCTGCTTGTATCGGAATTTTGGTGGTCAATAGGGTTGCTGCTGTTGCCCTTGCTGTTGCCCTTGCTGTAGCCCTGGCTGCTGTTGTTGGTCGTGGGAATGCTAAGCATGCGATGACCTTCGGGATGAGTTTCAGCAGATGATGGTGCTGCTGCTAGGATCGGCCAATCGACTGCGGACACATCGGATCGGAAGGGAGAAAAAGGACGACCGGAGGCACATGTGAGGGATGAAATATAAATGCACGAAAGCAAAGAAAGAGCACGAAGGCTGTGCACTGAACTTAGACCGTCAATAATGGTTTTCCAAACAAATCGACTAAGGTTGGCTTCTCGCAAAACAAGGAGACTGAGCTTCACAAATGTAAGACTGGAAAAACAGATAAGGGGGACTGGAAAAAACAGGTGAGAGAAAAACTCACCGGTACTTGTGCTCGCATACGCGAAAACGACGAAGAACAGGAGCGCCATTCGCGAAAATTCTCGTGGTAAACGTGGTAACCAACGTATGGACAACCACCGAACGGCGTGGTTCTGCTGGCTAGCGCCAGAACTCAGCGGTTTCCCCATTGGCCGAAGAATCCGGGTGGTTGAGTTACGCTTTACGAAAGACGGTTTGGGATTGTTTCTCTACTCGAATGCATTCCCCGAGAACAACGGAGATTAGGCCAGTCCTATACTATATCTGCGCTCAACTTGGCGAGCTACCGCACCATTTGGAGATTTCTTAAAAAAGACTCCTGCTGGAACGAAGAGGCAAGGATGAATACGGAAGACGATCAGTGTCCATACGCGGTACAAGGTCGTTTCCATATCAAATACATGAAAGCTGCTCTGCCTAAGTCTGCCATTTCCGAGAAGGTGTTGCGTCCCTAGGTATGTATGGACGAGACCAAGCTGACCAGTTTCACCTGATTGGAGGAGTGCACACCTCACCCTAAGATTATTTATCGTGATGACAAATCAGCAGCTCCCGATTTCGCAACAATAGCCAGTTCGGTTCGAGCGAACGTAAGGCCGGCAATGGGCGGTCGAATGGAAGGAGTCACTGGCGTGGCGACAAATATGACACGTGACGGCGATCGAGACCGTTCGCTGCAACTAATTAGTGAGGGGAGGTTGGTTCCCAGCTCATAGGAAGGCTCTCGGACAGGAAAGGAATGCGTAGTTGCTCCTAGCGATGCGACCACAATCGCGGATTTGGGACGACGAGCGAGCTGCAAAGAAGATGAGCTGCAGAATCGCGGTTCCCAGAGGAGACCCCAAAGTGAACTCTGGTATCGTTCTGTATGCGCACAAGAGATGCGAAGCCCCATTGATGAACCTTCTAGGAAAGCAATGCAATGCGTTAAAGCCCATGCCAAACCTACCATTTCGTTATTGTCGTCCGAACCTGGGAGCATCCGGTGTGCGCCCACGTGTAACAGAACGGAGAACAGCCCATCCCCTCAGAGGCTGCATGGAAGCCTCTTTCTCGGGAAAATTGAACTAACAGCCTGTGCGAACCCTATCCGCTCATCCCCCTGGAGATAAGGAGACGCACAAGCTATAACGGGCAGATCACAACGCCCGTTACTGGGACGTTTGAAGATCAAACCTCACCACAAGAAAATCAAATCCACGCGTACAACAGAGCCTACTCAGGGGGATATGAGGGTTGCAGGGAACCCTAAAACGTCCCTGGTTTGTGCCTGGGCTGGGCCCGTAAGATGGTTCAATTGATCTGGGCAGATGGGACGAAAAAAGTTCGGATGTATACGAAATTACTTCTTCAGCAGTTTCGAATTTCGGCGAAATCAAGGACCACCTCTTCCCTTCGGGAAACATGCTTTCCGCAGTGTTAATGCGGAGAGCCCTGATGGCTTGTGCGCATACAGAACGATACCTCTGGTGGAGTATGGGTGGGAGATGAGATGCTCCAAGCGTACCCCACAGCGGCATTCCAGAGATGAACCGTGTTCTAGCTTCTGAGTTGTAACTCCTCACAACAAGATGACTCCGACCCCGATGACCCATAGAGAATCTGCCCCAAAACCAGCCTCAAGAGACGGGACGGCGCACCCTATTGGTGGAGAGGTGGAAAATGTAAACCGTGGTGCTGTTCGCCAGCAAATCGTATTTTGAAATGAAAATGATGGCATCGGCATCGCGACCGCATATGGAAACGGGGGCGGAACCCTCCTCCGAGGTTTGGCCGTAATGCCGTTCAGGAAACTTCTGCGCCTGCGGTTGAGAAATTTCTCAACCGCGTCGGGAACCTCCATCCCCACCTTCCCTTCGATCCCTTTTGAACGGCAATGCGACGGCTGTGCCATCGCTGTGCTTTGAAAAACGCAGCATGGCGATGGCATGGCTAGGGGATGGTGTTTTGCCTGGGGACGAAGTTTCGTCCCCGCTTCCATATGCCGTCGAAGCGTTAGATTTGGTGGACAAAAGTGGGCGTTCGCCAGACGCCCACTTTGTTTGTTGGTTTGGACGGTAGGTGAGGCTCGGCACTTTTTTCACGGGCTGACCAGGCTGACGGAGGTTAACGAACTCTAACTGACGGGATCAGGAAGGCGAGACCCACCTTCCTGATCCCGTCGTTATCCCGTCGTTTTTTGCTATAATGGTGCTGGCGAACAGCCCCCGTGATTGCTTGCAACACCCCTGGGGTTCGTGCGGGTTTCGCCTTGATGAATGCTGCTGCGAGGGGGTGAACTGCCACGTTAGTGAGTTGGTGTTAGGAAGCAGATTTATCCAATCCATTTAGAAAGTACTTGAAGTGAGCAAAGGGCTAGTATCAACCAAATAAGCCAAAGAAAAGGCGGATTTCCAATACAGCAGCTTATATAGAACTTTCAAGTAAAGTGCTGACATATGAACTCAAACATCTCACATGGCCATCGCTTCTCCTAGCCAATTTGTAATTGCAGCAGACCTGCAAATCTGTACCAGCTTGTGGACAATGCTACTCCCCCCTACTCGCTGCAGCTGCCTGTTCAGCTTCCATAAGGGAAAGCGCCAACGCAAGACGCATCTGCCCTTCAAAATCATCAGGAACAACCAGCGGCACCCCTCCTTGCTCTCCCTCTGCACCCGCTTCACCACCACCAGCAGCACCCTCAGCAGCACGAGTAGTGCTCTCACTGCCATTCCTCTCACTGCCATTCCTCTCACTGCCATTCCTCACACCACCCTCACCGCCACCAATCCCTCGCATAAGAAAACTTTCAATTACCTCCTCATCATGCGAATTGTCCTGCTGCTGCTGCACCCCCTCCTGCTGCTGAGCCGCTGCTGGTATGGATGTTTGTGAAGAAGAGCCCAGCATATCACCCGGACTCACCCCACCCACATCAGAGCTTGCTGCAGCAAAATTCGACGCGGCACTTGCTGCTGCTGCTGCTGCTGCTGCTGCGACACCTGCACCTTCTGTTGTTGTTGCTGCTGCTGGCAATGCCTCGGGTGCAGGGACGGACTCTACCTGCCTGGGTGCAGCTACTGCGGCTGTGTCAGTGGCAACTGCTGATGCCGACGCTGCAGCTGCTGCTGGCGTCGAAGCTGATGTGCGGCGAGCTGCCTCTTCTTGATCCTGGTGCCGAATCGAGGAGGGGGGAGAGAAGCACAGAAGCAGAAGGAAGAAATTCTTGAGTCAACTAGACATGCGTTTTTTGAGTCAACTCAAAATTGCTGGTGCTGAATTGAAGCTGATGCGCGGCAAGCTGCCTCTTCTTGATCCTGGTGCCGGGTCGGACGAAGAGAAGGAGGAAAGCGGGGGGGTCGGGAAATGCAGCAGCAGCTCCTCCAGACCAAATCTTCTCCCAAAGAAAAAAAGGCGGGAAATGCAGCAGCAAGACAAAGGCGGTAGGGAGTTACAGCAGGCGGTAGCAGGAGAGAGAGCCAGAGCAAGCAAGCAGTACCTGCAGTGAGAGCCAGATGGCCTCCATAAGCAACAGCTCCTCCAGATCCACTCCCAGCTCGTCCGCTCTGATGGGAAGAGACATATAATGGGAGAGGCATTGAGACTTAAGATGTTTGAGGCATCGAATGTGTTGGGTTGGGACGCAGAATGGACGGATTCGCGGAAGCCGAGAATGGGCAGCACGGAGAGGGAGAGTGACGGGAGCGACGGGAGTGACGGGAAGAAAGCAGCTTGATAGTGCCGCGAGGGGAGAGGTAAGGCAGAGGACATAAGACAGGAGAGACCACAGACCCATGAAAGTACACAAAGAAAGGCATATGGGCGAAAAGGCACTAGGGAAGATATGCAGAAGCATACCTCGAAGGAGAGAGCCTGGGAGAGACAGTGGAGCCATGGCTGCTCGCAGAACCAGTGGCACCCGGCCCTGATCCCACTCTAACGATGAGGCGCCTCAAGAGGAGGGACAGAGAAGCCTACCTCGAAGGAGAGAGCCTGGGAGAGACAGTGGAGCCATGGCTGCTCGCAGAACCAGTGGCACCCGGCCCTGATCCCACTCTAACGATGAGGCGCCTCAAGAGGAGGGACAGAGAAGCCTACCTCGAAGGAGAGAGCCTGGGAGAGACAGTGGAGCCATGGCTGCTCGCAGAACCAGTGGCACCCGGCCCTGATCCCACTCTAACGATGAGGCGCCTCAAGAGGAGGGACAGAGAAGCCTACCTCGAAGGAGAGAGCCTGGGAGAGACAGTGGAGCCATGGCTGCTCGCAGAACCAGTGGCACCCGGCCCTGATCCCACTCTAACGATGAGGCGCCTCAAGAGGAGGGACAGAGAAGCCTACCTCGAAGGAGAGAGCCTGAGAGAGACAGTGGAGCCTTGGCTGCTCGCAGAACCAGTGGCACCCGGCCCTGATCCCACTCTAACGATGAGGCGCCTCAAGAGGAGGGACAGAGAAGCCTACCTCGAAGGAGAGAGCCTGGGAGAGACAGTGGAGCCATGGCTGCTCGCAGAACCAGTGGCACCCGGCCCTGATCCCACTCTAACGATGAGGCGCCTCAAGAGGAGGGACAGAGAAGCCTACCTCGAAGGAGAGAGCCTGGGAGAGACAGTGGAGCCATGGCTGCTCGCAGAACCAGTGGCACCCGGCCCTGATCCCACTCTAACGATGAGGCGCCTCAAGAGGAGGGACAGAGAAGCCTACCTCGAAGGAGAGAGCCTGGGAGAGACAGTGGAGCCATGGCTGCTCGCAGAACCAGTGGCACCCGGCCCTGATCCCACTCTAACGATGAGGCGCCTCAAGAGGAGGGACAGAGAAGCCTACCTCGAAGGAGAGAGCCTGGGAGAGACAGTGGAGCCATGGCTGCTCGCAGAACCAGTGGCACCCGGCCCTGATCCCACTCTAACGATGAGGCGCCTCAAGAGGAGGGACAGAGAAGCCTACCTCGAAGGAGAGAGCCTGGGAGAGACAGTGGAGCCATGGCTGCTCGCAGCACCCATCGCAGTACCAGTCGGACCCATCCCTCCTCCCGCTCTAATGATGAGGCGCCTCAAAAGGAGGGACGCAGAAGCCTACCTTGAAGGAGAGAGCCTGGGAGAGACAGTGGAGCCATGGCTACTCGCAGCATCCATTGCAGCACCAGTCGCACCCATCCCTCCTCCCGCTCTAATGATGAGGCGCCTCAAAAGGAGGGACGCAGAAGCCTACCTTGAAGGAGAGAGCCTGGGAGAGACAGTGGAGCCATGGCTACTCGCAGCATCCATTGCAGCACCAGTCGCACCCATCCCTCCTCCCGCTCTAATGATGAGGCGTCTTAAACTGAGGGACGAAGGGGCTTACCTCGAAGGAGAGAGCCTGGGAGAGACAGTGGAGCCATGGCTACTCGCAGCGCCCATTGCAGCACCAGTTGCAACCATCCCTGCTCCCGCGCTAATGATGAGGCAAGAGGAGGGACAAAGAAGCCTACCTTGAAGGAGAGAGCCTGGGAGAGACAGTGGAGCCATGGCTACTCGCAGCGCCCATTGCAGCACCACTTGCACCCATCCCTGCTCCCGCTGCTCCCACGCCTCTCCCCGATCCCGAACCATATCTTCCCGAGCCAACCCTGGCTCCCACTGCCAAGTCTGCCCCTTCCACCGAGCCTGGGTACCAGGCTCGGGTGCTGCTGCTGGAGCTGCCAGTGGGGGAGGAAACGGAGGCAGCTGTAGCACCGGCTGTAGCACCGGCACCACCAGCACCAACACCACCAGCAGCACCAGCAGCGCCAGCAGCAGCAGCAGCAGCAGCAGCAGCTCTGCGGCGGGCTCGTTCCAACTCGAGGCGATGGTGAGTCAAGTTGCGGTAGAAAATAACCTCATCATCACCGTCATCACGCCACTCACCAAAGTTTGGGACCACTCCTCCGCCTCCCCCTCCCACTCCCCCTCTCGCCCCTACTCCCCCTCCTCCCGTTCCCCCTCCCCTGCCACCAGCACTCCCTCCCACACCATATGTAGGCATCATACCCCTAACCACACCCCCAACCACAACCCCTTCCTCAACTCCTACTCCACCCGCCCCACCACCGGCCCCATACCTTCCACCACCATCATTCACGCCTGGAGAATACCCCCCTCCGCCTGGCAAATGCAGCTGATTCGGCCGCACACCTGCTCCCGCCCCTGCTCCCCCTCCTGCAAACGGCCCCTCCCACCAGTTGTGACTAGTCGACTGGTTACCACCGCGGCTGCTGTTACTGCTGGTGAGGTGGCGGGAGGAGGTGCGGCCTATTCCCCCTCTCTCTCGGGAGGAGGACGAGGCGGAGGAGGAGAGCTGCAGGGAGGAGCGGAGGACGCCTATACCTGTGTCGCTGCTGCCACTGGCTGCTGCTGTGGCTGCTGGCGCTGCTGCCGCTGCTGCTTCTGCTGCTGCTTCTCCTGCTGATTCGCCTGCTACTGACGAAGCACTCGTGGCACCAGCAGAAGCAGCAGATGTGGGGGGGTTTGGAGGGGTGCGAGAGGGAGGGGGCGTGGTAGGAGGGAGCGCGGAGGAGGTGGAGGAGGAGTTGAGGGAAGAGGCAGCTTCTGCTGCTGCCTGACGTTCGGCCACCCTGGCTGCATATGCCTCCTCCTCCTCCTGCCGCATCCTTATCTTTGCTTCTATCACCTTCTGCTCCTCCTGCTCAAGATCCAAGGAGAAACCCGACCGAAACAAAAACAAAGCGGATTGCGATGTGATATGATGCGAAGATGAGAACTCAGAAAATTAAAAACAAAAAAACCAACAGCCTGCCTGCCGGACTGAGTTTGTGTTCAAACAGGCCAGAAGCGCGTGGAACCGAGAGATTAACATTCTGACCCAACTCAACAGCACCATACCTCTAGCTCCACGTTTCTTTCCTCGGCTGTGCGCTTCCCCCGGAATTCCACTGAGAAGGTTGGCGCCTTGCAAAACGGACACCTGAGAGGTGACATGCAGCAACGGAAGCTGATGAGCGGTGACATAAGGTGATAAGTGGCCAACGAAAGGTAATCACCAGTGATAAACGGTGGTGACAGAAGCGGGTTGGTGACAGAAGTGGATGGTGGGAGGAGGAGGAGGAGGAGGTGGAGGGGGAAGAATAGGAGAGGAGGGAGAAGAGATAGTGGAAAACAATAGCAACAAGGAAAGAAGTGAGAGAGCACAAGTGAGGGGCTGGGTGGGCTGGGGCTCACTGCAGCATGCTGGAGGCTGTTGGGGACTTCATCTGCAGAAAGCACTCTGAGAAGGGGGTTATGGCGAAAAGGGAAAGGAAAAACGGAGAGTGTGAGCAATCAGCAACAGCTGTTTGCACGCAGGGGCTTTTATGAGACAGCAAGAGTTGAAGCCAATACACCACGGGCCAGGCAAAGATGAAATATCTTGGCATTCCTTGCTGCAAAGCAGGGTGCGTCAGCTATGGCTGATACTGGCAGTGCGACGTGGAGCAGGGAAAGAGTCGTTACCTGTGCACAGGCCCTACTTGCTGACTTTTGAGTCGACTCAAAAGTCACCTCGATGCGACGTGGAGCAGGGTAAGAGTCGTTACCTGTGCACATGCCCTTCTTGCAGCATCTCGATCGATTTAGACATGGATAGTTCTGTCAAAAGAAGGATTTAGGTCAAAAGCAGCGAGGCACAGACAGGCATCAAGAATACATAAGGAATTCCGAACCATGAGACACAGGACATCCGAACGATGAGACACAGGACACCCGAGCCATGAGACACAGGACTTCCGAAGCAAGGCGGTTCTTGTTAATGAAATCAACAAATCCGTACCAGCAACGCACATGCGACAAGCAATCGCCACGCCACAAGCACTATCAGCACTCTCAACCACCAACACTCACGAGGAAGCAGATAGGGCATTCGTCCAGGTCGCTGCTGGGTTCGTCGCCGCCCACGTGGCACGGAGCGAGCTTGGCGTCGAGAATGAGCCGTCGCAGCTTCTTCAGGTCGATGTCGCGGTGCGGGTACAGCCCCTGCGGGTGCGTATACTGCTCCTCCACAGTATACCGCCGCTTTGTAACCTTGTTACCCATCGCTGCAGATACGTAGTTCTTCCTGATTCGCGAGCCACCTCCGGGTACGATGCTAGCAGTGTCGCAACACTATCTTATCCAAACGCACGTTAGATTGAAGGTCACAGTTCCCTGGTGCAGCCTCTGGAGCGACAGACTATTGCGAACGGTTATCAAGTGGAGGATTTCGAGAGAATGGCTCGCGGGCTCGCTCAACCACTTCAGGGAACAAAGTAACGGCCTAGGGACGCGTTAATCTACGCGTTAAGCTAACATATATCTAGCGGACCTAAACAATTCACCTAAGCTCCTCCTCCTTGGGTTTTCCGTCCTAAATTGACCAGCGCTCGACGAAGCTAAGGCAAGTAACGGAAGATAGCACCGTCTTGCCAGAATCGGAAGATAGCAACGTCTCTCTAAAGAGATGCTCACGCGTCAAGCTTAGGTTACCACGATAACTGTCGCAGGTCTGCGAACGCCATCCTTGGGTGTTACATCATGTTCGGAGCTCTCAGATCACTAGTGCTAGAACAAGCCATTGCGTGGCTCAAACCAGAGAGGCTGTTGGCAACTGCAAGGACGCGAGCGCGAGCAACTAGTGAAAGAGAGCAACCGGCGAATTGCGAGCGATCCTGCCTTTAGAACAGAGCGTTTTGCGGCTGTAAGGGACTGCAGCCAACGAGCACGTAGATGCCGCTCGGCAATCGGCGTAGCTTCGACCCCGTCGAACGAAGCAAGGAAGTCGGGCCTCGCGACGAACCGTGACGACCTAAGCCACTCAACAAGCAGCAACAGGTTCCTACCCCGAAAGGCTTCCGACTCTCAAAAGCGTTTGCTGTTCCGGAAAAGTACCTACAAAGCGAATCCTGTCCGTGTGGTCCGAAATATGGCTCCTATTGACGCAAGGGCTTTCTTGTAACCTCGGCTGAAGGACATGACCCGCACGCGGAGTTCCCTATGAACGCGGCATTTCCGAGAAAGGCATGCCCCTCGGAGCAAGTTATGTCCGTCCGTGCCCTGCACTGCACAGAGTAATACCTTGAAACACAGAGTTTGAGAGAGGTTGGGCCTGATAATTCACGGTTTGCGGTGGTTATACATTGTCCCGTCTGTTGCACCCGAACCACCAACCTAGCTCGAGCCTCGACAACAGCCCCGTTATGGGCCAGACCTGTCGTCGGGGCTGCTTGATTGAGACAGACAGGTCGCAGGAAGTGCCCAGACGACCAGCCAGCGACCATCACGCGACGGTTTTGTGCCGCCGAATTCTGCTTTCCGCAGCGGGCTTTGCGTCGCTCGAGTGGTTAGGTCTACGCGGGACACCGGCCAATGAGTGAATGTTAGTAGGTTCGGCATCCCGAAAGAAACGTTTGACCTGCTGCCGCACCGAAGGACAAGCTGGTGCGGTGCAACAAGCCAGAACTGACGGTTCGGCATAAGCAGTAAAGCAAAATAATATAAGCACGGCAATGAATCATGAAGCACTGATTGTACCGACCTTATGAAGTTGTGAAACATCCCAAGTGGAGCATGAGTGACAGAATCGAGCGTGACAGATTTCGTCCCTATAGTAACTCGCTTAGGAACGCTAATAACAGGACAGAATTCGAGTTGAGCATTCCTTTTCCATCCTCCAGCACTTTGTGCTGGTTCTTGGCGCTGCCTCTCTAAACCCCTCTTAGGCTTCTTTTCCCAGGCTGTTGATCAAGCCTCGTCCTGTCCTGCTGTCTTTTAGTGCTGGCCGCGTCGGGCTTCTCTCGCCTCGTGGATAGGCGATATTTACCATTCTGACAATCCTAGCTCCCTAGGTTTCTTGCTGAGGAGACAAGATGGGGACGAAGCTTCCGACGAAAGAGGCCAATCAGTTCAAACTTATTGTGGTGCGTAGGCATTGATTCACCAGCTCCTTCCGTTCTTGATGTCAGGATGGTAAGGGTCCCTCATCTGTTCACCCAGACGTTGGAAAATGTGGCTAAATCAACGATAAATTACGATTCGCCCTAATGACGTTCTACCCAACGTCGTTGCAAACTTCTTCTCACGATCCCGGTGGTATGGTCTACTTTGTTACGTGAATATCTGTTTCTAATCTTCCGGCATTAGTGGGCGTCGATCGCCTTAGCCAGCTGATCGGGGTTTAGTCGTACGTGCTTGCAATGTGGAAGGGTAGCGTGAAGATCCTTCCAATTCCGTGTCCTTTCTCAACGAATCTGTTAATTGATGAGTCCTTCTCTACTCTTCCCGTTTATGGCGTTTAGGACGTCCCAGCTCGAATCCTGCTAATCCGCGAACACCACGCTCGGCGCCATTGCGTGATGTCCCAATGCACTGCGTCTGCCGGACTCATGCCTCGCGTCTTTCCCCCACTCGCTCGCAACGTTCGGCACAGAGGCTCAAGATGCTTCTAGTTGTCGTTTATTCCTCCCCCGTCGTACGCTCTTCGTACGAGACGGAGCGCGGTACAAGACGGGACTCAAGGCTGTCTCTTCCTTTCCGCCAGCGGGTCCCTATCTCCTCCCCGAATCCATCCCCGTTATAGGCAGAAGTCGTACGGTACGAAGCAAGAACACAGGACTAAAGACTGTCTACACCTTCTTTCCTTCGGCTCCCTGTCCCCAATTATTAATCCATTCCCGTTCGTGCGAGATGAAGCAGCACAAGAAGGGATTCGATCTCCTCCTTCCTTCCGTCAGCTCACTACTCCCTCTCTCCCCTTAAACCAACCCCGTTATAAGCAGAAATCGTACGAGACGAAGCAGTACAAGAAGGGACTCAAGGCTGCGGATGCCATTCTCAAGAAGTTCCCGGAGCATGGCGGTACGCACGGATGGGTCAGGGTTGGGATTTGGCTTGTGCCTGTGCATGTGCGTGTGCTTGTGATTGTGCTTTGAAATGAATGTGAAGTTGCTTTTGATTCAGAGTCTGTTCCGTTGTCACGCCGTGTTGTTGTGCTGCTGGCTGATCGATCACCCTTGAAATCTCTCAAAGGTGATCCCAATGTAGCTGGCTGGCTGCACCCTTTCTGTGACAGAATCTCAGCTCGTGCCACGTGCTCGCCCGTCAGACTCCGTCGCCCATGAAGTGGTCCGCGGTGGCTTATATCGAGTATATCTTCTGCCTCTCCATTCCCCCAGAGACCCTGGCGATGAAGGGCCTGATAATGAACTGCATGGAGAAGAAGACCCAGGCTTATGAGCTCGTGCGCAAGGGCCTCAAGGTATAGTCCCTCAGGCGGTCACTCAGGCACGTGGATCGGTCACTGGTGCTTATGACCTCGTGCTTATGAGCTGCGCTTATCATCTCCTGCACAAGGGCTGTGCAAGGGGCTCAAGGTGGGGTCACTGAAACATAGGAAGTGGTGCTGTGCTGCTTACAAGCTTGTGCGAATGAATCTGTGCATTTGTTCTCGTGCATTCTGGCTCCTCAAGCTAGCTAGCTTGTGCCGTGGTCGCACCCTCCTCCCCCAAAACCCCCCGCTCCCCCTCCACCCTCCTGCAGTTTGACCTGTCATTCCACGTGTGCTGGCACGCGTACGGGCTGCTGTACCGGTCGGACAGGGAGTATCGAGATGCCATCAAGGGCATCTGGTCTGGGCAACCACACATTACTGTACAACCCCCCACCCACCCCACCACCCGCATTCTCTCCCCCACTTACGACAGTTCGACCTGTCATCGCACGTGTGCTGGCACGTGTACGGGCTGCTGTACCGGTCGGACAGGGAGTATCGAGACGCCATCAAGTGCGTTAAGAGGCACCACACGTCCACCCACCCTCTCCCCCCAAAACACCCCCGTCCCCCCTCCCCCCTCCCCCCTCCCCCCTCCATCTCACAGTTCGACCTGTCGTCCCACGTGTGCTGGCACGTGTACGGGCTGCTGTACTGGCGGACAGGGAGTACCGGGATGCCATCAAGTGCTACCTCAACTGCGGCACCACACAATCTCCTACTGTGCAACCCCCCCACCCCACCACCCCCTCTCCCTCTCCCCACCACACCGTCGCCCCTTACCACAGTTTGACCTGTCATCCCACGTGTGCTGGCACGTGTACGGGCTGCTGTACCGGTCGGACCGGGAGTATCGAGGTGCCATTAAGTGCATCTGATGCACAGCACGTCCGCCCAGCCACCCTCCCCTGCCTTGCCTTCTGCTCCCTGTCTGTCCCCTGCTTTACTTCAGTTCGACCTGTCATCGCATGTGTGCTGGCACGTGTACGGGCTGCTGTATCGGTCGGACAGGGAGTACCGGGATGCCATCAAGTGCTACCTCAATGCTCTGCGCATCGACCCCAACAACCAGCAGATCCTCAAAGACCTCTCGCTGCTGCAGGTGAGTCATATTCCACACACGCATGCAATGCAGGTGCGCCTTATTGCACACATGCGTGCATGCATGCAGGTGCAGCCCGCCTCAACACCCTGCGCATCGACCCCAACAACCAGCAGATCCTCAAAGACCTCTCGCTGCTGCAGGTGATTTTTGTATTTCACACATGTGAGCATGTCGTCTCAGTTGCAGAATTTCTCAAATCCCTCCCGCTGCAGCAGGTAGGCATGATTCACTCATGCGTGCATGCATGGCTGCGTGCTTGTATGCATGTCGAAGAATTCTCACATTTGCCCTGCTATTCCTGTGCACAGGTGCAAATGCGGGACACGGCAGGGTTTGTGGAGTCGAGGCGGCAGCTGCTGACATTCAAGCCCAACCACCGCGCCAACTGGATTGCCTTCGCTGTTGCCAACCACATCAACGGCAGGTGAGGTGAATGGTGCCAGGTAGATGCTGTGTGAGGTGTAGCTTGTGGGATGGTTGTGCGGGCAGGTCACTGACAGGCAGCTGCTGACATTCAAGCCCAACCACCGCGCCAACTGGATCGCCTTTGCTGTTGCCAACCACATCAACGGCAGGTGAGGTGAATGGTGCCAGGTAGATGCTGTGTGAGGTGTAGCTTGTGGGATGGTTGTGCGGGCAGGTCACTGACAGGCAGCTGCTGACATTCAAGCCCAACCACCGCGCCAACTGGATCGCCTTTGCTGTTGCCAACCACATCAACGGCAGGTGAGGTGGATGATGCCAGGTAGATGCTGTGTGAGGTGTAGCTTGTGGGATGGTTGTGCGGGCAGGTCACTGACAGGCAGCTGCTGACATTCAAGCCCAACCACCGCGCCAACTGGATCGCCTTTGCTGTTGCCAACCACATCAACGGCAGGTGAGGTGAATGGTGCCAGGTAGATGCTGTGTGAGGTGTAGCTTGTGGGATGGTTGTGCGGGCAGGTCACTGACAGGCAGCTGCTGACATTCAAGCCCAACCACCGCGCCAACTGGATCGCCTTTGCTGTTGCCAACCACATCAACGGCAGGTGAGGTGAATGGTGCCAGGTAGATGCTGTGTGAGGTGTAGCTTGTGGGATGGTTGTGCGGGCAGGTCACTGACAGGCAGCTGCTGACATTCAAGCCCAACCACCGCGCCAACTGGATTGCCTTCGCTGTTGCCAACCACATCGACGGCAGGTGAGGTGGATGGTGGCAGGTAAATGATGTGTGAGGTGTAGCTTGTGGGATGATTGTGCGGGCACGTCACTGACAGGCAGCTGCTGACCTTCAACCACCGCGCCAACTGGATCGCCTTTGCTGTTGCCAACCACATCAACGGCAGGTGAGGTGGATGGGGGGGAGGTAGTGGCAGGTGAGTGTGATGTGCTGTGGGGGGTCGGTGTGCAGTGGGGCTTCAGTGGGGCTTATGGCGTGGTGGGGGCCATTGACAGGTAGGGTGGCAGATTTTTGCCTTCAAGCCCAACCCAACCACCGGAAAACTGAATCACCATCACTGCCTGCCACGACACTTCACGCACTCCCACCGCACGTCGTCGCACCCCACCACACGTCACCGCATTCCGCCCCATCCCACATTGCAGGTCGGACATGGCGGCTCAGATCATGTCAGCCTATGAGGGCACTCTCTAGAGTGAAAATGGTTCCGCTTCCTCCTTATGAGTGTCACCGCATGTGACCGCACATCACCGCATGTCACCGCATACTATCCCATCCCATCCTACTGTGCAGGTTGGATGTGGCGGCTCAGATCCTGTCAGCGTATGAGGGCACTCTGGAGTGAAGATGTATCCATTTCCTCGGTCCATGCATGTCACCGCATGCCACCACACATCACCGCACGTCACTGCATGCCATCCCATCCCACCGTGCAGGTTGGACGTGGCGGCTCAGATCCTGTCAGCGTATGAGGGCACTCTGGAGGACGAGTCGCCTCTTGATGGGGACAAATACGAGCACAGCGAGATGCTACTCTACAAGGTAATCTTGCTATAAATGTTAAGTTATTTCATCGATGCATTGTGGTAGGAAGGTTGGATACTGTGCAAAAGTCTGGGCCCTCAATCATAAAAACACCTGTGCCGAGCATCTTAGGGTCTGAAGGGAACGCTTCGTTGACCGTAGATCTCTCTGTTGGCTACCTAATTGTACGTGTCAAACGCCTTTTTCCTATTCATCTTTATCCGGCGCGCCCCTTTTGCATTTGATCTTGCTTGCCTGCTGCAGGTGTCGCTGCTGGCGGAGGCAGGCAAGCACGCGGAGGCCCTGGATGAGCTGAGCAAGAAGCAGCGGCACATCGTGAGTGTGTGGGGTCAAAAGAGTCAAGGGATGCAGAATGAAGGTTGTGAGCAGTGGAGTGAGAGAGTGTCAGCTCTCCCTGTGGCAGAAGAAGGCAAGCACGTAGAGGCCCTGGAGGAGCTGAGCAAGAAGCAGCGGCACATCGTGAGTGCAGGGAGTCAAGGGAGTGAAGGGATGCAGGATGAAGGTTTGAGGGAGTGCAGGGAGTGTTGGGATGCTAGGGATTCAAGTATCAGAGGGGCCAGAACATGCTGTGTGACTGAGGGGAGAGCAGAGTGGTCGCAACTTATTGGGTCAACAAGGAGGCTAGAAACGAGTATAGAACCCTTGCTGCTGTACCTATTGACCTGTTCCCATCCCTGTCCCATCTATCTTTCCTCCTCATCTGCCACTTGTGACTCAACCCTGCCTCATTGCCTCGCAGGTGGACAAGCTGGGGTTGAGGGAGCAGAGGGCGGAGCTGCTGCACCTTACAGGCCGCAGCGAGGAGGCTAAAAGCGAGTACAAGGCGCTTCTGGCAATCAACCCAGACAACTACAAGTACTACGAGGGGCTGCAGGCGTGCATGGGGCTGAAGGCCAATGAGGTTGATGGCAGCTACTCACCGGAGCAGCTTGAGAAGCTGACGGAGCTGTTCAACGGGTTGCAGGAGAAATACCCCAAATCCGCTGCTGCTAAGGTGAGTCTACAAGCGAGCACCACTTGAGCCTGCTTCAGGTGTGCTGATGGCAGCTACACGCCGGAGCAGCTGGCGCAGCTGAAAGAGCTGTTCAAAGGGCTGCAGGAGAAACACCCCAAATCCGCTGCTGCTAAGGTGAGAGACAGACTGCAGTTGGGTGAGTGGAGGCCAGGGCATTGCCAGTCTGTGACGTCAGTGAAGGGAGTGCAGTGCAGTGCATGCACGGGTAATGAGGCGCACTGTTGCTGATAGCCCTGGAAGGAGAGGTTTCCGTTTTTGCTCCACGCGCAATCTCTCTCCTCCGCCCTCTGTGCTGCTATCCCTCACTCGCTTCCACCAGAGAATACCGCTGGACTTCCTGCAAGGAGCAGACTTTGAGGCGGCCCTGCAGCCACACGTGAGGCGGTTCATCCGCAAGGGCATTCCCTCCCTCTTCTCTGACATTGAACCGCTCTACGACCAGCCAGGCAAGGTGAGGAGAGGGGTGAGGAGTTTGGTGAGGAGAGAGTGACGTGGCGATTTGTGAGTGAATGCAAGGGCATCCCCTCGCTCTTTTCCGACCTTGAACCTCTCTATGACCAGCCAGGCAAGGTGAGCATGTTCGCGGATTTCATACAGTTGTGCTGCTTCGCTCCCTCTCCTCTCCCATAAAAAAACTCTCGTTCTCTCTCATGTTCTTGTTTATCCCTCCTATTTTCCGTTGCTCGAAACCCCACTGCATCCCTCACCGCGCAGGCTTGCATCATGGACTGCAGTCCATCTGTCTTTGCAGCCATGCTGCACTGCACTGCACTCCACTCCGTCCACTCTTTGAGCATGATTCCCGTTCACATGCTCTTTTCTCCCGCTTTCCTTCATGTTCCGCATTGTATCCCTCACCCCACCCACAGGCGAACATTACGATCATGGACCCTAAACCCTAAACCCAAAACCCGAAACCCAGCCATGCTGCACTCTGTCCGCTCCTTCCCCACGTCCCTTCCTCACTTCCCCACCACTCCCTCATCAACTACCATGCTCTTTAATGCTCCCATGTATTCCTCACCCGGCAGGCCGACATAATGGATCGCGTCTTCACAGACATGCTGCACTCTGTCCGCTTTTTCAGCACATTCCCTCTTACCGCTCCCCCACCACTCTCCACCACTCTCTCAGCAACTTCCATGTTCCTTTATGTCCCTGTGCATCCCTTACCGCGCAGGCGGACATAATGGATCGCGTCTTCACAGACATGCTGCACTCCGTCCGCTCCTCCGGCAAATTTCCGCCTCTCAGGTGCCCTCTTTACGCGCTCTTAACCTCAGCTGCGACCTTTTCCGCTGTTAATCTCCCCTCCTCTTTCTCCATCTCGTCTTCCATCCCTTTCTCTGCACGGTCCCAACCTAAGGAGCTCAAATACATTCGGCGCCTGCACTCATTTTTTGCAGCCATAGAACATGGCTCACACTCATGTTTTTAGGCGTCTTAAACATAGAACATACCTCACCTCGTGTTTGGTTCTGGCTGTATGCCTGCTTGGATGGAAGTAGAACCAATCATCTTGGCATGTTATATGGCCCGTGCACCCCATTTGATTCTCTTTTCTAGTCCTCTCGAAAGTTTTCGCACCAGATATGTTCTGTGCCTATGCACCCCATCTAATCTCCTTCAACACCCGGGCCGGGTCCAGATCTTGTTAGTTCTTGAATTCTATTCTCTGCCGCCCCCCCCTTGTCTGTCTGTCCCCCTATCCAGTGACACGTCAGCAGAAGAGGACAAAGTGAATCCCTCTGTTCTTCTCTGGCTGCTCTATCTGATGGCCCAGGTATGTATATATCCCTGCCATGGGCCCTTGAGTACTTTATATCAGTTGACTTCTATATAAATTTCTGCCTAAAGGTTATTATTATTTTTACCACTACTTCTCAGGCATGAAACAACACTGCAGAAGTGAGCTCGCTTTTATCTTTCCCTCTCTCTTCTTCTCACGTGTCCTCATTCGCAGCATCTGGACAGGCGGGGCAAGGTGGAGGAGGCATTGGCGATCATAGATGAGGCGATTGCCCACACGCCCACGCTCATGGATGCATACCTTGTCAAGGTGGGTGGGTGGGTGGGTGGGCGGGCGGGTGGGCACTAACTGTACCTCGTGTGGCTTGCTGTACCAAAGGAATACTTTGGTAGGTTGGGGACGAGGCCATTGCCCACACGCCCACACTCTTGGATGCCTACCTGGTCAAGGTGGGTTTGTGGGGAATGTGGGTAGGCACTAACTGATTGGGGGTTGTAGACGAGGCGATTGCCCACACGCACGCCCACATTCATGGATGCATACCTCGTCAAGGTGGGTGGGTGGGTTGGCACTGCTGTGGTCGCACAATGTGAGGACGAGTCCGTCTGCCTTGTTGTTGTAAAGGCGTATCTTCTGTCAGAAGCATCATGAGTATCCTGTACGAAGGCGATAGCTCACACACCCACGCTCATGGATGCCTACCTCGCCAAGGTGGGTTGGTGGGTGGGCTCAGCTGAGGTCGCACAATGTGGGCACGAGTCTGTCTGCCTTGTTGTTCTGAAGGAGTTTCTTGTAAGGCTGTAAGAAGGCGATTGCTCACACGCCCACACTCTTCAATGCCTACCTGGTCAAGGTGGGTGGGTGGGTGGTGGGCGGGCAAGGTGGGTGGGCACTAACTGGTCAAGGTGGGTGGGCGCAGCTGAGTCTGCATGCCTGCACAATGTGGGCACGAGTCTGCCTCATTCTGCTAGATAGGGGACTTTGTTGTGAGGTTGTAGGTGAGGCGACCGCTCACTTGCCCACACGCCCACACTCATGAATGCCTACCTCGTCAAGGTGGGTGGGTGGGTGGGTGGGTGGGTGGGTGGTTGGGCGGGCACAGCTGAGCTTACTTCTGATGCGCCTCAAAAAGAGTCTGTAACCACACAGAAGCATCGAGGCTGGCCATGCATCAACCCCGTCCCCATTCCCGCCCTCATCCTTCTCCCCCCCTCCCCTTCCTCTCTTCGCCTCCCGTCTCCTCCCAGGCGCGCATCCTGGACAGGGCGGGAGACTTTACAGCATCAGCGCGCCTGGCAGACGAGGCGAGGAGCCTGGACCTTACGGGCGGACAGATACCTCAACTCGGAGGCCGTTAGTCACATGCTCAAGGCTGATCAGGTGAGGGATGGAGTGATGTGGGTAGTTGGTATGGTTGGTTGGTACGGCTTGCTGGAGTAGTGAGGAACCAAAGAGGCGCCTGGTGGTGTGGAGGGAGGAGACGTGGCGAGGAGCCTGGACCTGGCGGACAGATACCTCAACTCGGAGGCCGTTAGTCACATGCTCAAGGCCGACCAGGTGAGGGCTGTAGGGTTGTTGGGTATTGGTGTTGGAGGCAAGAACCTTAAGATGTGCCCTGTGGTATAGGAGACATGAGGCGAGGAGCCTAGACCTGGCGGACAGATACTTGCCGTCAGCCACATGCTCACGGCGGATCAGGTAGGAGGGAGGGAAGGGGGTGGGACGGCTGGTGGTGGTATAGAAGGGAGCAGATGAGGCGAGGAGCCTAGACCTGGCGGATAGATACCTCAACTCGGAGGCTGTCAGCCACATGCTCACGGCGGATCAGGTGGGGGCGGGGCAGAAAAGGGGAGGAAGGGAGCACTTTTTCTCGTGTGCTTGCTGCTGCTCCACTCATGCCCTATCCTCTTGTGTGCGTGTCTCTGTCGACTCAGACGTGCATGTGCTTTATCTTCTCCCCTAAACCCGAAACCCTAAACCCTCTCTCATGTGTTGGCGCTGGGTTCAGGTGGATTTGGCAGAAAAGACAGCAGCGCTTTTCACGAAGCATGGCGACCAGCATGAGAACCTCTTCGATATGCAGTGCATGTGGTGGGTGCAGTGCGGTGTATGTGGGTGCCACACGGTGCATCTGGGTGCAATGCGGTGGTGCATGTGTCTGCAACGCGTATGATGAATGTGATGCATGTGATGCGGTGGATGTGATGGTTGCAGTACGGCATCCCACCCACCCTTCGCTCCCTCTCCCGTACCGTGCCCCATTTCGCTGTAGAGTGTTTTTGAGAATTCTCGAAAACACTCTTCCGTACCGTGCCCCATTTCATGCCACTGCTGCATACAGTTACGAGCCGGCCAGTGGCTACAGCTACCTGTGGCAGAATGCATTTTTGAACTTCAACATAACCGCATCTCATCCCATCCCATCCCATCCCATCCCATCCCATCCCACCCTACTGCTGTGTGCACTCAGGTACGAGCTGGCGAGTGGGGACAGCTACCTGAGGCAGAAGAACTACGGGCGGGCCTTGAAGAATTACCTGGCAGTGCACAAGCACTATAACGACATGGTCAGTGCAGCCTGTGACATGTCACATGACATGCTCAGTGTGCCTGTGGCATGTGGTACACGATTAGGGTCATTTGAGTGCTGTCTGCTGCTGTGCTCTGACTCCCCTACCTTCCATCGTCCCCCTTTCCCCGTCTCCCATTCAGGTCGAGGATCAATTCGACTTCCACACCTACTGCCTGCGCAAGATGACCCTGAGGGCCTATGTTGCTACCCTCCGTTGGGAGGACCATCTGCACGCCTTCCCCTTCTTCTGCCAGGGGGCCGTGGGCGCTGTGCGGTGCCGTGACTTGCTGTGACTTGCTGTGCGGTGCTGCCTGTCTGGTTCTGTGACTGTAACTCCCTCTCTCCCTCGTCCCTCCCCCCTCGCATCTCTACCCCTTCAGGTGGAAGATCAATTCGACTTCCACACCTACTGTCTCCGCAAGATGACACTCAGGGCCTATGTCGCAACGCTGCGTTGGGAGGACCACCTGCACGCCTTCCCCTTCTTCTGCCAGGGGGCTGTGGGCGCTGTGCGGTGCTACGTGGGGTGCTGTCTGTCTGGTGCTGTCTGGTGCTGTGACTGCAACTTCCCTCTCCTCTCTTGCATGCCTCCCCCCCTCGCCTCCCCCTCCCCCTCCCTCTGGTCCCCCATCAGGTCGAGGATCAATTCGACTTCCACACCTACTGCCTCCGCAAGATGACCCTCCGAGCCTATGTGGCCACCCTCCGTTGGGAGGACCATCTGCACGCCTTCCCATTCTTCTGCCAGGGGGCTGTGGGTGCTGTGCGGTGCTACGTGTGGTACCGTGCTGCTGTGCTGGTGCTCTAACTCCCCCCTCTTCCACCCTCCTCCCTGCTCGCATGTTTTGTCTCCCTCCTCAAGTCGAAGAACAATTCGACTTCCACACCTACTGTCTCCGCAAGATGACCCTCCGAGCCTACGTCGCCACGCTGCGTTGGGAGGACCATCTGCACGCCTTCCCCTTCTTCTGCTAGGGGGCTGTGGGCGCTGTGCGGTGCTACGTGGCTCTGCCTTGTGGTCCCGTCTGGTGCTGTGGTTTCCTGTGTGCGGTGCTGTCTAGGGCTGTAACTCCCCTTTCTTCCACCCTCCCTCTTTCTCCTTTCTGTCTCAAATCCCTTCAGGTCGAGGATCAATTCGACTTCCACACCTACTGCCTCCGCAAGATGACTCTGCGAGCCTATGTCTCCACTCTCCGTTGGGAGGACCATCTGCACGCCTTCCCCTTCTTCTGCCAGGGTGCCGTGGGTGCTGTGCGGTGCTACGTGGCTCTGCATGACCGGCCGGTGGTGAGGGAGGAGGCGAAGGAGGAGGACAAGGCGAAGATGAGCGCAGCGGAGAAGAAGAGACTGCAGAAGGAGCAGCGGCGGAAGAAGGTGAGAAAGGGGTTGAATGGGGCAGGGGTTGGGGGCAGTGGGGCAAGAGGGCAGGGAGAAGGGATAGGCGATAAGCTGTGGTGTGGTTGTGTCATGGGCGCTGTGCGGTGCTACGTGGCTCTGCATGACCAGCCGGTGGCGAGGGAGGAGGAGAAGGGGAAGATGAGCGCAGCGGAAAGGAAGAGACTGCGGAAGGAGCAGCGGCGGAAGAAGGTGAGCGATTGTGCAAAGGTGTGAGCCGCAATGTGATAAGGTGATGGCAGGGGGAGGGGAAGGGGATGGGGAAGGGGAAGGGGAAGATGAGCGCAGCGGAGCGGAAGAGTCTGCAGAAGGAGCAACGGCGGAAGAAGGTGAGTCGGGGTGAATGGGAGAGGGGTTGGGGGCAGGGAGGCAAGCGGGCAGGGACGAGGGGGCAGGCCTCTTCCGGTGGTAAGCTGCATTGGTCAGCCCTCCCTCCTGGGCGTTCTCCTCACTTTTCATAAGGAATTCCTCCCCTCTGGCCTCAACCCTGCCCTCCCCCCCTTCTTTCCCCTGTGTTCTCCCCTGTGCATCCGCTTGTGCTTTGCCCTGTCTGTGCCCACTCGTTCCCTGTTTGGGTAAGCAGGAGGAGGAGGAGGCAGCAGCTGCTGCTGCAGCAGCTGCGGCGGCAGCAGCTGCCAAGGCAGCCAAGAAGGGAGGCTCGGCCAAGCCTGTGGATGCCGACCCTGATGGAGTGAAGCTCACTGAGGTGCGTGCTGCCGGAGCGGTGCCGTGCGGTGCTGTGTGGTGCTGTGCATGTGTGCGCATGTGCCTTCTGTTGCTGACCCTGTGTGTTGCTGTGCATGCATGCATGCATCGGTGTGCCATGCATGCACCAAAGCACCTCTCACTGCTGCTCCAGCACGTGGGGAGATGACGTTTGAGTCGACTCCACAATAACTCAATACACCACAAGATCTCCATTCGCACAGGTGGAGGACAAGCTAGCAGAGGCATCCTAGCACCTCTCACTTGTGCTACAGCATGGCGACATGAGATGTCTTTTGAGGCTCGGCTAATAGGAAGTGTGTCTACACAATCTGATTCCCATTCACACAGGTGGAGGACAAGCTAGCAGAGGCATCCAAGCACCTCTCCCTGCTGCTGCAGCACGCCGGCTCGGACCTCTCGTCGCTGCAAGTGGCGTTTGAAGTGTTCTCGCGGAAAAAGAAGCTGCTGCTGTGCCTGCAGGTGAGTGTGCACGTATAGGTGACCATGTGCTTGCAGCCGTGGTGTACAGTCATATTTTAACAATAGTCATAGCCTAACAAGCCTAACAATTGTCATCCCTGACAGTTTTACCTCGTTCCCTCACTCACTATCTCATTCACTTCCATCCTCCATTGTCACCTCTCCCTCTCGGCCCTCTCCTCGCCCTCTCCTTTCTGCCTCAGGTGGTGCGGCGGTTGCTGAAGGAGCATCCACATGCGCCCCTCACACACACCTGCCTGGTACGTATATGTGTGTGCATGTATGTGTGCGTGCATGTATGTGTGCGTGCATGTATGTGTGCGTGCATGTATGTGTGCGTGCATGTATGTGTGCGTGCATGTATGTGTGCGTGCATGTATGTGTGCGTGCATGTATGTGTGCGTGCATGTATGTCTGCGTGCATGTATGTGTGCGTGCATGTATGTGTGCGTGCATGTATGTGTGCGTGCATGTATGTGTGCGTGCATGTATGTCTGCGTGCATGTGCGTGCATGTATGTCTGCGTGCATGTTGCACATGCGCCCCTCACACACTCCTACCTGGTTCGTATGTGTGCTTGCTTGCATGCACGCCGTGCGCACTCCTGCCTACTTCTAGATGCACAAACGTACTGCCTTCCCCTTTCCATAGCCCCAGCCACCCGCTAATGCAACCACCCAAATCCTTTACACCATTCCTGCCCCACCACCCACCCCAACCATTCCAGGTTCGCGTTTTTCCTCTCAGTGCGAGACCTAACCCCTGGCTTCAGTTCTTTTTTTCATCCAGATTTCTCCACTTTCTCATCACTTCTCCACGCCCCAACCTCCCCATCCCTAACCTAACCCCATCCCTACCCATCCCAGGTCCGGTTCTTCCTCACAGTGCGAGACCTACCCCCGGCAGAATCAGAATCGGATAAAATCGTCCGCGCAGTGATAGAAGCCGAGAGGGCTGACCTGGGGTGGGTGGCACAAGAGGGCCCGGGCGAACAGGGTATTGGGGGGAATGTCTGGGTGGTGTGGTGTGGGGGGGCGGATGCTGGGGTGCTTTTGGGAAGAGGGCAGGCTGTGTGGGGGAAAGGGGGCTTTCTTCCGTTAATTGCTCTCAGCGCCCTTCCGTCTCTGCCCCTGCCTCACGCTATCCCCTCACTCCCCTTCCTCCCCTTCCTGCCCTTCCTGCCCCTCACACCCCTCTTCGTATCCCCTTCAGTCTATCTGAAGACCTGGCAGCGAGCCTGCAAGAACGAAACGAGGCTTTCCTCGAGTCGCACAAAGGTGCGAGGAGGCTGTTGGATTCCAGTTCTCCTTTCTGTAGCCTCCTTTCCTTCCCCTCATGCCATGCGCTATCACCATGCCGTGTGCCACTCCGGGGAGGCAAGGCATGCCTAACCCTTGCAATGCCTCCCCATCCTTCTCCGTGCATCCCCATGCCTCCCCATGCCTCTCATACTTCCCCATCCCCCCCTCATTTCCCCCCTCATCCCCCCCCACCTCCCGCCACGCCACCACCATGCCACCCCATCCCCCCCATCCGCCTCCACGCCATCATCACACCATGAGAGCAGATAGCTTGCCACACAGGGCAGCAGCAGCGGAGGCCATGGCCATGCTGGACCCCAGCCTCAAGCCGCGGGCTATTGCCGTCATTCACGACTCCCAAGAGCCCCTCGCGAAAAGGTATGATTTTTTTTTTCCTTCGGATCTTTTTGGAAGCACGTGAAGTGTGGCCACTGCACTGCGTTTTGAGACGTCTTAAAGGACGCGCCGTCGCTGCACTTGGAAGCTCTCAGAAGCCCCTCTGATTCAAAAACAGCCACGTGATAAAAGAGATGTTTTGAGACGTCTCAAAGCACGCGCCGTCGCTGCACTTGGCAACTCTCAGAAGCCCCTCTGAAGCGCCTCAAAAACAGTCTCGCAAGATCTCCTCCGGTTGTTTACGTTCAATATGCTTTGCATTGTGTGATTCAGCTGTACCGCGACTCCCATTCCTCCCCTTCCTCGCCTCGTCTCCTCCCCTCCTGCCGTTTCCAGCGGAGGTGCATTGGCAGAGGGAGTAGGAGAGTGGTCTCTTGACGAGTGCACGACGGTGCATCGGCTGCTGCAGGAAGGGCCTCTGGCTGATGAGGCAGCTGCTCAAAGTGAGTTATGAAGTGGTGCGAGAGTAGATGTGTTACGGTAAGAGGTGTTTCAATATCAGGCAGGGTGTGTGACTGCTGCAGGAAATGCCTCTGGCTGATTCTGTGGCCGCGCGGTTTGTGTTTTATTGTCATGCTAGGAGATGCTTTGGAACCTGGACTGGTGCACAGAGCGCTTGATCTGATTTTAACATCTCTTCCTCCCTCCCTCCTTCCCTTTTGCCTGGCATTCAGGATGGAGGAACTGGTGCACGGAGCTCTTTCCGTACGCGCAGCACTTTAAGGGCAGCAAGATGTGCTGCTTGAATCGACACTTGAATCTCTCTTCCCTCCTTCCCTCTCTCCCTCCCTCCCCTCACCCCCTACCCTCACCCCGTCCCAGGATGGATGGACCGGTGTGCGGCGCGCTTCCCCTATTCGCAGCACTTTGAGGGAAGCAAAAGCTCTGTGAAAGCACCACCCCAAGTGGCCGATGGGGGTGACGAGGACGGGGAGGAGGGGAGCGTCACTGCCGGCGCTGCTGCCAGGGAAAATGGGGTGGTGGAGTAAGGTGTGCAGTGGTGGAATAGGTAAGGCGTCTGACGAGTTTCCCTACTGGCGGCACTTTGAGGGAAGCAAAAGCTCTGTGAAAGCACCACCACCGGTGACGGATGGGGGGGATGAGGACAGGGAGGAGGGGGGGGTGCTGCTTCTGGCGCTGCTGTTAGGGAGAACAAAGCGGTGGAGAAGGGTTTTAAGGTAGTGGATTAGGGTGGGTTGCTGTGACACCGTTTCCAGCAAAGGTATGGCTGGTGTAGCGTTAAGACTGCCGTGCCAAAAATCATCAATAATTGGCGCAATGTGTAGCAAGCAAGCTATAGTTGCACTTTAACAATTGTGTGTTTCCTTCCGGAGCATTAAAGATTTGCCTAGCAGTGCTGTTTGTTGCACATAGGGAGCCCCAGACTCATTCTTCTTCAGTGAAGTGGTTGACTTCCGGGGGTTGGGTTTTCAGCTTGCACTGATGCTCATCTCATTGGCACACACGCACACACACGCACGCACACACACACACACACACACACACACACACACACACACACACACACACACGCACACACACGCACGCACGCACGCACGCACGCACGCACGCAAAGCACCACACAGCGAGCTACAAAAATTCCATGCATGCGACATGTGGTGTACATGGGCATGGGCATGGGTGGGGTCGGGGATGGGCAGAACGAATGGGTTTGTTAAGGTCACATGGCAGACGCGGCAAGGAAACCATGGGAGATCACCAGAGATGAATGTGAAGGAAGGAGCGGGGATGGGAAAACAGATGGAGACTTTACCCCCCAATTACGACGGTACCTAGAGGGCTTGGAACAGGCCCTCAGATTGGCTTGAGGGTATGCTGATGGATCAGTGTGCCCCGGCCAACGAGGTGTCCAAATCAGCCTTCACGGTTTTTTTTATACTGATTTTGCCGGAGTGAGAAACATAACTAAACTGAACCAAGAGTGTAAAATTAACTATAGCTGAAACACTAGTACAAGGTGTGTGGTGTTGTTACTGTGATAGGTTCCAGCGAGGCTAAACACTTCGGCGTGCACCTGATATCTGCGCAGCGCAACCATTACCACCACGCGGTCAAGTCCGTTTTAGTGTGACTCACTGAAGTATACTGATTCGTCAGTGTTACTTGTACAGCAACACGCAAAATGGTCAGTGTGGCAAAATAGGTTATACTGAAATTTCAGTTCAAAACTGAAGCACATTCTGTTTTTTCAGGGAAAACGAAATTCGGAGATACAAAATCAGCGTAATCAGCGTGTTTTACGCTGATATCTGAGGGCCTGGCTTGGAACAACTGGCAAACGCTGTAGGAATAAACGCTGATAAGGATCTATTATCCGAGAGGATGCAGCTGTGGCTGACTCTGTCATATATGTATATCCAAATGGAGAGGAGGTTTGATTATGCCATGCTCCATTCATGCACATGTTCTATTTCATTTGTACGGCTCTGTTATACTTCGTTGTATGTCCCAGATATCATATAGTCGCACACATGTACTGCGAGGATATTGCGGTCAATGCATTCTTGTGACTTTCGCGAGAAGGTGCTCCAAAGGCACTTGATTCGTGCTGGAGAATGCCGGTTCCAGTTGTTGAATGCCCATGGTGTGAAACACAAGAATGTGACTCTGGCGAAGTGCGATGACGCTTTGTCCCTGAAACAGCAATGTTCCACAAGCGAGGATTTAGTTTCGCGCGTCGCCTATAACGACCTAGCCTTGAGAGGGAACTCGATCACTCGTATGCGAATCCGCTCGAATGGTAACCTCGAACCCAGTTCTTTCCCTACTCTTCCAGATTGGCTGGATTATTTTCGCAATAGCCACACCCAAGGCGGCACGAGATGGCGAAATAAGCATGTGCGCTTCCCGGCAGCACAGCGGCACGCGGAATGGAGATCGCTGCACCACACACACCAAACACGCTTGCCCAAAAGAGACCCAAAAGGGAGAGGCATCACCCCACACGACCCCCCTCCCTCCCTGTTTGTTGCAATTGGCCTAGACCGGATCAATGCAGCACTCCTGCATCTCGAATGCGCGCACCTGTACAGTATCGCATCCAGCCACCACCCACCCTTGGCACTTCCCGCGCCGCCTCTGCTTCCCAAGACCAAACCAGCCACCCTTGGTTTCACACACATCGCCTTGGTTTCATCCGAGCCCTTGACTCCATTCAGCTGCTCGATCTCATCCGTCCCGTGATCTCACCCAACCCAACCCCTCGATTTCACTCACGGCAGAACATCCCATCCCATCCACTGGTTCGAGAAATTCCCTTGGTTTCCTGATAAGCAAGGACATTGACCCTTGGTTTTGCACCACCCTGGTTTCGCGTATCGCCTTCGGTTGTGTTTCTTATGTTGAATCCAACTTATACAAAGCTCGGGTGATTGGTGTTGGTCACAGCGTTCTCTCATCGACTCTTGCCAGAAATAGACGTATCAGCAGCGTTGGCGTCTTCTCCGTTGCTCTTCCTCGAACTTCTGCTTCCGCACAACTCACTTTCCGACATGACTTGTATTTCCCAGTAATCTCTCTCTTCGCAAGCATCAGCCATCCATGGTTTCAAGATAAGGCGATCCACGTCGCCCATGGATTCCATACAGCAAATATTTCCACAATCTCCGAGCGGCGACATGACAGATTGGAGACGACCGATCCCTCAGGCGCCCAACCAGGCGCCCAGACCCTGCACCATGGAACCGCCCGCCACCGAACCCGATTTCATTCCACCGTCTCCCGTGAGCCCTTTCGGCGTCGGGCATATCACGAGCCCGGACAGTTACTACGGTCAATCCCGACCTTTCTCGTCTCACGGATCGGAGCGCGTCTGCCCGGAACCCTTTCAACTCCCTACGCCTCCCTACCACTTCTCCGATCAATTATCATCGACCAGTAACGACGGTCAATATTACACCGCGCTTCCTTCCGCCGTCCCATCCGCGCACCAGCTACGCACCTTCCCTCCTCAGCACCTCCCCCGAGCCTCCGCAATTTTTCCTTGGGCTCCCTCTGTTTCTAATCTGTTTCCTCCTGAACGTACGGACTACCGCGTAGCAATGGGCTCGACCTCTGCGTCTCCTCCACCTTTTTCGCTCGATTCGAGTGAGAACGAGCACCCCAATAATCGCGTTCCGCGTCAGCTCCATGACCAGTCGTCTGAGGCGACGCTATTACAGCAAGCCCTGCAGCGTTCCCAGCAGCAGCAGCAGCAAAATCAACATCAACAGCAACAGCAGCAGCACCAGCGCTTCACTTCCTCCGTCCCCACTCATCAAGACACCAGCCATTTCCATCCCTCACCGCACGCATCAACCACACCACCGTTATCAACTCCGCCAGTCTCCCCTCTTTCTACAGCCCTTCTCCCGCCCGCTTCCGCCCCTCCGCGCCTGGTGCGCGCGCGCTCCCCCGCCCCCCGCCCTTCCGACTCCTCCGCCTCTCCGTTGGCGCGGCCAGTTCCGCTCAACTCCCGCGTGTGGCTGGCGGTCGAGCTGCTCTGCATCCTGGCGCAAATCTCCGCGGGCGTGTGGGTGCTCGCGCTTTTCCCCCACGAAAACCCCCCGGTGCCGCTGCGTTTGTGGATACTCGGTTACACTCTCGGCTGCCTCTTGCTCCTCCCGCTGCTGTACTTTCGCTACACTCACCGCGCCCTCGGGAACGGCGAGGATTTTCTGCTGTGGCAGCAGCAGCAGCAGGCAGAGGAGGAGGAGCGGCGGCGGCAGTGGCGGCTGCGCGAAACGCCGTCGCGGCCGGCGATGGCTTCATCACGGCCCGTGTCGCCTTTGAGACTCCCACGTGCCGCCCCTGCCGCCGTATCAACGGTCGACCTATCCTCCTCAGACTCCTCTTCGGTCTCCTCTTCCTCTAATTCCTCTCCCTTCTCTTCCTTACGGCCCCGCTCGCCGGGAGGGCTGGTGTTTACGGCGGCGCCTGCGGCGGCGCAAGCGGCGCCTGTGGCGGCGCAAACAGCGCCCAATTCCCCTTATCTAGGCGCGAGGGTGAGCGGAGGCAGGGGGGAGGCGGCGGGCGGATGGGCAAACCCTTTCGGGGACAGCGCTGCTGGGAGTGGATGGACTGCTGCCAGCGGTGTAGACATGTACAGTGCAATATATTATAATGGTTACGATTATGACGATGACGAGGATGAATTGTACGGTGAGGGGCGGTACAGCGGGTTTCGGCACATTGCGGCGGCGGTGGGAGAGAGGATGCTGTCGTGCGTGCGGTGGATAGTGGACGAGCTGCAAGACGACGCACGGTGAGTCGTGGTGGTGTACGGTGTAATGGGGTGGCGTGCGATGGCATGGGGCGGCGACGGGGGAGAGGATGCTGTCGTGCGTGCGGTGGATCGTGGACGAGCTGCAAGACGACGCACGGTGAGTCCTGGTGGTGTACGGTGCAATGGGGTGGCGTGCGATGGCATGCGGCGGCGGTGGGGGAGAGGATGCTGTCGTGTGTGCGGTGGATCGTGGACGAGCTGCAAGACGACGCACGGTGAGTTTGTGGTGGTCTGCGGTGGTATGGAGTGACATGCGGCTGTAAAGGGTGGCGTGCGGTGGTATGTGCGGTAACATGGGGCAATGCGAGTAATATCTCCGTAGCAGATTTTTCTCCCTTTCTTCTTCGGGAAACCGACCTTTCCTTAACCTCTCTCCCGCGTCTCCCCGCCCACTTCGCATGCAGGGTGCTGGCTCTAGTGGAGCGTTACAAAGTAACACTTGACTGCTTCTTCGCAGTGTGGTTCGTGCTGGGCAACGTATGGGTCTTCGGCGCTAATTCCGCTGCCACCACAGCGCCCAATCTTTACAAGTGAGTGCTTACCTCCCTCACCCCTGTCACCGCTACTACTCTGTGGTTCGTGCTGGGCAACGTCTGGGTCTTCGGCGCTAATTCCGCTGCCACCACAGCGCCAAACCTCTACAAGTGAGTGCCTACCTCCCCGCCTCAACCCCTTCACTGCTGCTTCCGGCCCTCCTCTACCCCTTCTCTCCCATTTAGTGCACTCAGTGGTTCTTCCCCCAATCGGACAGCCACCCATCTCACTCCCCGTCTACGTTCTCCTCCTTGCCTCCTGCTTGCCTTCCCTCCCCCCCACATACCCCCCCACGCCTCTGTCCAGTCTGAGCGTGCTGTTCATAACCCTCAGCTGCGTGAGCTACGCGCTGCCGTTCCTCCTCTGCGCCGCCATCTGCTGCTGCCTGCCCTGCCTGCTGCACCTCCTGGGCCACCCCCACCAAGACGACCACAACGCATTCCCGCTCGCGCGCAGCAGCAGAGGCGCCACCACCGCCGCCATCACGACCCTCCCCTCGTTCAAGTACCGGAGGCTGCCGTATGGGAGGGGTGGGCGGGTGGTCCGCCTGCGAGGGAAACGTGCTGCTGCTGCTGGTGCTGCTGGTGGTGGTGGTGGTGCTGCTGCTGCTGCTGCTGCTTCTGGGAAAGCGGCTGTCTCTGACGGTTTCTTGATATCCAAGGCGGGCAGGCAAACGGCCGCATGCATGGGAGGAAGACCCAGTGAGGCAGGCAGTGGGAGCTTAGGCAGGGAAGGGGGAGGGACGGGAGCGGTGGGAGGAGGGAGCGGAGCAGAGCAGGGGCGAGGGGGTGTTGGGGGAGGAGCAGGCGGGTGGTTTGGTAGATTGGGTGGATACCTGATGCGACGCACTGCAGGTGCTGCTGGTGCTACTGGCACTGCTGGCACTGCTGGTGCTGGCGTTGAATATCCTGTCGCTGCTGCTGCTGCCAGTGGTGGTGGTGGTGGTGGTGCTTCTGCCTCTGCTGGAAATGCTGCTGCTGGTGCGACTGGCGGGGCTTGCGCGGCTGGAGATAGGAGGAAGAGTGCGAGTGAGGAGAGTGAGAAGGAGAGGGAAAGGGAGGAGGGAAGTGAGAGTGAGGGCGACTCGGATGAGGAGGAAGAGAGTGTGGTGGGGCTGCTTTGGCCTGGCACGGACAAGCAGAGACCAGTGCGAGGGGGGGATGCTGTGAGTCACTTCTTCCCTCAACCCGCCTCCCAACTCCCCGTCTTCCTTGCTGCCTTCTTAGCAATTCATATGTTTTTTCCTTTTCTGTTATCTCCTTCAACTGGTTTCTATGGTTCCATGCGTGCATTCCTTCTATAATCCCCCCTCCAACACAACCCCCTCCCTCAACCCCACAGCCCTGCTGCATTTGTCTGGGTCGCTATCAGGACGGGATAAATATTTCCCTCCTGTCCTTATCCCCTTCTGTTGCTTCTCTTTCCCCCAACCCTCCCTCCCTCCCCCCCACCTCCCCCTCCACCACCCCACCACACCCCACAGCTCTGCTGCATCTGTCTGGGTCGCTATCGGGACGGGGTGGACCTTCGAGAGCTGCCCTGCAGCCACCACTTCCACCAATCCTGTGTTGACACGTGGCTCAAGATCAACTCCTCCTGCCCGCTCTGCAAGGAGGACATAGCGAGCCGCCCGAGACTCGAGGCTGATGGTGAGATGTGACTGTAACGAGAGGATGATGGTGAGATGTGACTGTAACGAGAGGATGATGGTGAGATGTGACTATAACGAGAGGATGATGGTGAGATGTGACTGTAACGAGAGGATGATGGTGAGATGTGACTGTAACAAGAGGCTGATGGTGAGATGTGACTGTAACGAGAGGATGATGGTGAGATGTGACTGTAACGAGAGGATGATGGTGAGATGTGACTGTAACGAGAGGCTGATGGTGAGATGTGACTGTAACGAGAGGCTGATGGTGAGATGTGACTGTAATGAGAGGCTGATGGTGAGATGTGACTGTAACGAGAGGATGATGGTGAGATGTGACTGTAACGAGAGGCTGATGGTGAGATGTGACTGTAACGAGAGGCTGATGGTGAGATGTGACTGTAACGAGAGGCTGATGGTGAGATGTGACTGTAATGAGAGGCTGATGGTGAGATGTGACTGTAATGAGAGGCTGATGGTGAGATGTGACTGTAGCAGGCTGTGAGCAGGGCGTGATCAAGGTGTGACCAAGGTGTGACCAGGCTGTGACCAAGGTGTGACCATTTCTGGATGTGACTGTAGAGTGTAGCAAGCAGTGGTCCTTAAGAAGAAAGTTGCTTCTTCTCCTATGCCTCAATTCCCCATCCCTTCCAATTCAGCCCCTCCGCTCCTGTCCCTCTGCCCTAACCATGCCACGTGTCACCTGCAAGCATCTGTGTGAAACGTTGCGTTTTGTTGGAGGCTATTATTTTAACACGCTTTGCTTGCCGTACCTCGCCTCCAAACCCTCGCCTTCTCCCTCTACCCACATTGTCCCTGCTTCCAACCAATCTCGTCCTGCCATGTACCATGTGCCAGCTGCGAGCATCCCTGTGGCCCCCTTTGTTTGACACAAGGGCTTACAAGGGCCTGTTCTTTGCAGACGTGGAGGTGGTAAGCCATATGCCACAAGAAGAACTATGGGACTATGGGATGGGACTGAGAAGAATCACGGGGCCGGGTCCTGTATTTCTTACCGGTAGTTTATGTATCTCCACCAGGCAGCAGCTCATCTCGAGCTGCTGCAGGAGTAGTGCAGCAGAGATGCTTTAGTAGCTGGGTTGGGAGGGCTGGCTTGAGCTGTGGGAGTGTTCCCGGATTGAGATGAGAAGGGACATGCACAGTGTGCCTCTGGATTTAATGTTTGACTAGAAACGCTGCTTGTGTTCTGTAGGTGTATTGTAGGTCACTTTATTCAAATGTATTGACGCACAATAAAAAGAGAGCAAATCAAGTTGGGTGATGTTCATGAGAGGTAGACAACTTTGTAGCACCAATGCTGTGTGCGTGCATTAGAGGGGTAGTGAGCAGGATGATGCCGAGGATGCCACATCTAGGCCTACTCCACCCCATGGAGTTTCCGTACCTACTCCGCCCACCCTAGTAGCATATGCAATCAGCACTGCTGCCGCAATCTATAAGCATGGAAACAACACTATCGCCAAATGTGGCGAGAAGATTTGGTATGCAACAGGTTACATAGATACACCTAATGTGCTTTATTGTTTCGAAGCGGCTAAAAGCATGTCACGTCACATTTTTAGTAAACTTCGAATCCAGCCCAACCGATTTTATTACGCTACTACTTCTAGACCGCTTCCAGCACCGTGTTTCACGGTTGCCCACATTATCATGTTACGTGCTTTCCCATCGGATCCGTAACTTCTACACCGCTTCCAATCCTTCCTTACGCAAAGCCGAAATTCGTCTTCGAGATGTAGTTCACGGCCTGGACCCAGTTAGGAGGCAGCGCGTTCCAGATGACGAGCGACGCGTTGTCGTTGCGCGAAAAGAGGCGGAACGAAAGCGACTTGCCCGTGATCTTCTGCCCGGAAAACGTCCAGACCGACCCGTAGGATCGAGTCATGGGCTGGAACGGACCGCGGTTCAGCGACAGGTCGACCCGGCGCAGATCGCCAGATCCCGCGACGTTCTTGATCAGAGCTGCAAAAAAGTGAGGACATAAGAAAAGAGGATTTGAGTTTTTGATGGCGAGTTTACAAGTTCAGGCCGCAAATCAATCGCGGATTTGGCCGCCGGGGCGATTGCAAGCCCTTGAATCCGAGTGAGACTGAAGGGTTCAAACGAGATGTGAGCTTCATTCTCTGTTGTTAAGCAATAATTAGGGTGCGAATGTGCGAACGGCGATCTGCGAACGACATTGGTCTTACCTTCGATGTAGTAAGGGTTCCCAGTCACGTTGAACACGATTCCTCGCTTCCGCTGGCACAAAACGCGCTTCACTACAACGGGTACAACTCCAATGTTCGGATTCGTCGCAATCATGTTCCACGTCGTCGGCGCGAGCGACAGACTCATCTTGTTCCCGTCGCACCACCCTCCTGACGAAAGCGGCGGGCACAGGTTACTAACGGTCAGCATCGGCGACACGCCGGGTTTGCATAGCGGGCTGTTGACGCACTTAACGCGTACGCACGCGCCGCACAGCAACCCGGATTGGTAGAGCGACGCGGACGCCGACGCGGTGTACACGCCGAAGCCGGACTGCTGCGCGGTGCCATACCCGCAGGACCCGCCGTCGCCCTGTCCGCCGTAGTAAGTGGCTGTGAATCCCTTAGCCCACGTTTCGTATTTGCCCCCGTTGGCTTGCGGGAAGGCGGCGAATATCGAGAGTGTGAGAACGAGTGCGAGCGACATGAATCTCCAAGCCATGGTGCGGATTTCTCTATGGTACTCCTGAAGCGCTAGCTAAACCTCGAACCGTTATGCGAAACAAACCTCACCACCACAAGCTCTACGTGCTCTGCGTTCCTGCTTATTGTTCTGCCTCGTAATCACTATCGTTTTCTGGGTGGGAGGAAACCAGGAATATGTCGAGCAGGGGTCGTCAGCCAAGTGGACGGCGGTTCTTATCGAGCGTAGAGGAGGGAAACAAAATCTACGGCAGAGCACCAAGAGCAAGAGAGTAAGAGGGCTGAACAGATAAGGAGGGAGCGGCGTTTGGGTGTATCACATGAAATGCCGTAAGAGACGCGCCGCTGATACAAATTCCGCCTCGCCTTGGGAATTTTCGGGATGATGGAATGGGATGTGAGAGATGTGGATGACCGAGTCGCGCGTCACGACGAGGGAAACTCCTCGCGCCGTCGCGCAAGACGGGCCAACATGGTGACTTTCGTGAAGCGGCTCGTCCGCTGTGCAACGTGTGTCACGTCCAGGTTTGGGGTGTCCCGAACGAGGCTTGTCCGGAAGTCGGAAGTGCTTTGGAAAAGGTCTTGTTTTGCCGAACGACTGGTTTGTGCTTGAGAGACGTGCCTCGAATGACTCCCATGACTGACCGGAGCAGGTCACGAACCTGCCTTTGGTCAGTTCGGCTCGTCGCGGAACCCCCATCGTGGTAATTTGCATTTCGGTACCGTCCTTCGCGTATAGCACCTCATTACGGTAAATTTGTCGGCCAATTCATTCATGTATATTTTCGTTGATATATTGTACATTTCAGCTACTGCACAAATCCTTCGATTGTTATGCGAGGGTCCCAAGCTAGTGTTATGAGTTGTCAAACAGAGTTGCGCGGAATAACGAATAACGAGGCTGTGACTCAATGAACTGACGATACAATGAAAGGCATGCGATTATATAGCGAGACAACCTAGCTAGGCGGGAACCTCGGGAACGCGAGGTTGGGTGCAGGTTGGGCAATGGAAAGCCGAAGGCGACGCGAGGTTGCTTCGGCAGCAAGCAAAGCGGCCGAACGTGCACTTCCGAAAGTTGGGGTTGTACGCGGTTGAGTAAACCCCAGTAAGGAAAAGGGGTTTTTCCTTACACTACCCCCCCCTTAAGAAAGGTGGTCAACATCCACAGCTCGCTTGCGGGCGAGGTAATCACCAAGAAGCGGGGAAGCTTCAAGCGAGGCGGATGGCACCCATGTGTCGTCCTCACTGGTGCGGTCAGTCCAACGGATAAGAAAGTCCACGTGGCGCCCTGAAGCGTCGAGCCGAACACGATGCGCCAAAATCTTGGACGGGTCGAGTGTCGGTTCCGGGACAGGTCGAGCTGTCGGGACGGCGTTCTGGCGCGCGATGTCTGTTGTGGCAGGCACGAACTTGCGTAATAAGCTGACGTGGAAGGCGTCGTGAATACGCCAGTCGTCGGGTAGTAGCAGCTTCGCGGTGACAGGTGTCACCATCTTGAGGATCCTGAAAGGCCCACAGAATCGTGGCCGTAACTTCGATGGGCCGGGCAGGTGCAGGTTCTTCGTGTCCAGTAGTACTAGTTGCCCAGCTGCCAAGACGAGTTCCCGTCGTAAAAGGTCGGTGTATTTGCGGGAAGTGGTATTCGCCTTGCGAATTGCGTCCGCAGCCTTCTCGCGAATTTCTTGGAGTTCTGTCACAAATGTTTGTGACCTCGGGACCGGGTTGTCAAGTGTAGTCGTTGTAGGTACCACCGGGTCCATCCCGTAATTCAAGAAGAACGGGGAGTGATTAGTCGTGCTGGACGGAGCGTTGTTGAACGCGAATTCCAGCATGGCGAGCGAATGTTCCCAGCGAGCGGGGTCGGGGCAGTTTGTCCTGATCAGCTGCTCCATCGTCTGATTGGTCCGCTCGGTCTGGCCGTCGGTTTGCGGGTGGTATGCCGACGAGAACTGTACCGTATCGCCCCGGATATAGGCGCCGTCCGATTAACGGCGCCGGCGCCTCTATCTGGAGCATGGCGCCTATGGCCGGAACTCGATTATAAGCGCACCCCCTAAAATTTCTATACTTATTATAAGCGCATCCGTTAACGTACATTGGAGGCATTACAAAAGATTTAACTAAACCTCATTTTTCATAGCAACTACATCAGCATGTTGCTAAACTACAACTAGTCTAGCCGGGGTACTCCTATCCGTAACATGCATCAGCCAGTACCCCTCCTACTCCTCCTCGTCGTCAGACTCGGGCTCCAGGCAGTTGTTGCCAAAGAAGCCATCGGCGATGATGTCGTCGTCGACATCCACCTCCGCTGTCAGCTGGGTCCGCCTGTGCGCCATGGCGAGGTTGTCCTCGCTGCCGTCGAGTGCGTTGCTGATGCCACAGGTGAGGAAGGCGCGCGTGATGAGGTCGGACGGCACTGCCCGCCAGGCCTGAGATATCCACCGCAGGACGACTTCAGGTGGAGGCTTCTTCAGATTCCCTGCAAAATACAGTAACAGGAGAACGGTGGACAGCCGTTAGTGCATAAAAAAAGGCGGGGGGGGGGGGGGGGGGGGAAACTTCATAACAAAACCGTACACATGCCGTACCTGCCGCGGTCAGCTGCGCTTGCCCCTCTGCCTCGAACCACCTCTGGTACTGCTGGCGGACCGACGCCTTAAAACTTTTGTTGATGGAGACATCGAGCGGCTGTACCTCCGCCGTACAGCCCGACGGGATGACAGCCGGCACGCAGTTCATCTCGCGGAGCTTCTCCTTGACCGCGGTAAGAGTCCAGCACCAGCATCGAGCTCTTCGCGCATCTGCCGAACCGAGGCTTCAAGAAAGGCTTGACGCCCTCCTCAAGCCAGCGAAGGACTCCCGCGGAGTCCATCCATCCGTTCTCGTGGCAAGCCACGACCACATCTGCACGAAACCCGAGCGTGTGGTTAGAACACGCACTTAGAACAGAACGCAAATACAGACGAGGGCAATTGTTTGCTTACCGGCAGGGAAATCGCCCTTCGGCAATGTTTTGCGCTTGAAGAACACCCACGGCTTCAGCTTCCGTCCGTCAGCCGCGCACGCCAGCATCACGGTCACTCGCTGCTTCTGATACCCCGCGCTCCTGATAGGCACCGAGCGAGCACCCGTTTCCTCCACGATGCTGGCGGTGGGCATCTCCAGCCATAGCGGCGTCTGATCCGCGTTGA